CTGGAAACAGTGTGTACATTTTGACTCCATTTACACTGATAAGTACTGTAGATATGGAGTCAAAATAGGGATTTGCATGATATTTTAACATCATCTGCCACATATTGGCCCAATGCATCAAATGATCCAAATCTCTCTGTAAGTCTGCAGAATCTTTGATACAATTAGCCACCCCAAAAATCTTATTGTCATCTGCAAACTTAAAAATTTTGTTAGTCATTCCAGAGTTAATATCATTAACATAAATCACAAACAGCAGAGGACCCAGCACAGAGCTCTGAGGCACACTGCTTGTAACTGTGATCCAGTCAGATCTAACTCCATTTATTACTACTTTCCAGCCAATTTTCTATCCAATTTAATAACATTTCCCCCACAACAGATTTAAGTTTTGTAACAAGTCTTTTGTGAGGCACCTTATCAAACTCTTTATGAAAATCGAGATAAACCAAATCCGCAATATTTCCATCATCAACTCTTGCAGTAACATACTCAAAGAATGTCAGAAGATTTGTTAAACAAGTTTCCGTAAGTTAAACCATGCTGGCTCTTTGACACTATATCAAACTGCTTTAAGTGACTTTGCAATGCATCTTTAATATTACTCTCTAAAACCTTTCCAACTACTGATGTAAGACTAAGTGGCCTATAATTGCTTGGACAATGTTTAGCACCTCCTTTAGATATTAGACTAACATTAACCAACTTCCAATCTTCTAGTACTTCTCCACAACTCAATGACCTATAAAAAAAATATTAGCTAGTAGTTCACAAATATAATCTTTTTGTTCTTTTAAAACACTAGGATAAAAGTTGTCTGGTCCAGGGGATTTATCAATTTTGAGGTTTCCCAACTTTTCTCTTACAATTTCAAAACTTAAAATGATATCTTTTACAACTGTATTTTTCTTGTACATTAAGTACTCTGGTTGAGGCACAACAAATGTATTTTCCTTTGTAAAAACTGAAGAGAATATATAATTTAATGAGTTTACCAACTCATAATTTTCTGAGATCAGTTCCTCACTATCATTTTTAAAATGTCCAATTCCCATCCTAACATTTTGCTTACCCATCATATACCTAAAGAATTTCTTATTGTTTGATTTAACTCTCTCAGCCAACCCTCTTTCATATACAGTTTTTGTCCTTTTAACTTTCTTTTTAACCAACTCTCTTGATTTCCTATAGTCCCTCAAGTCCTTATTATTTACAGTAAGTTTAAATTTCTTGAATTTATTATGTTTATCCCTAATATGATCTCTTAAACCTTTACTAAACCATACTGGCTTATTCCACTCCATTGCCTTTTTTTTCTGTAGGGAATATGTATGTTCTGTATGCATATAAATTTTTCCCTAAATGCTTCATACATCTGTTGAATATCCCCTCCCAACTCTTTAGTCCAAACTACAGAAGCCAGATCATGTCTCATTCCATCAGAATTGGCTTTCCTGAAATTTGGAATCAGGATAATATTCTTCTTCAATTCTACATGTAGTAACATCCCACAACTAATAGTGCAATGGTAACTTGTACTTAAATGCACACCACTGCTGCATTAGTCTTATCACTGCAGTGATGTTTATTTTTCAAATGTTATTGAAATGCCTATTTTGTATTCAATTTGCTTGAGTGTTTATTTATTTGTGTAAATTTTTGAAAATAATGTTGTCGTGTGTATAATATCAGTTGGTATTATGTGGCTGGTAGTAAAGGAATTATGACAAAGTAAATTGAAACCAATATAGTTATTATGAGAAATTAAAGTATACTTTAAACGAAGCAACTGTATCGTCACTTTCCCCTCCCTATGTATATGCAGAAAATGTCAAGGATGAAATATAGTAACAATACCATCTAAAACTTATTTATTGCAATATTTTACAAATAATGCATTTAGTTTAAATTAGTTCAGAACAATGAGATGTAAAAATGTCAGAACTGACAATATTTTCTGAAAAATAGGGTATGTGGCTTTTAGATGTTGTAATGTTGTGGCTAATATACTGACTTCCAACATCAAGTAGCATTCTGTACATTTATTAATTTTTTATTGTAAAAATATTAAAACATAATTTTTACTTGATTGTTAGTTATTATTTGCTTTTGGAAAAAGTAAATTAATTTTCTGTGGCTTGTGACTCTAAACATAATTATTTTACTTATAAGTATGAAATATTGCTCCAACATGAACAATTTCTAATAAAGTAAAACATAACATAATAGCTTTATATAAAAAGTGCTAGAGTCAACAGATAATAGCATAATTGCAAAAAATGTTCCCACGTAAAAAGTAATTGGGACCCTACTTTTATTCCCCTTGACGACAGTTTTTAAGTTTGTCAGGCCCTTTGACCCCCCCCTGACAATTGTGGGGGCATACTTATACCACTGTCACCAGGAAATTTCTACAGAAAAGAAAACTGTAGTTAATGAAATAATCAAAGATACAATGAAAGTTTTACCCCTGATGATAAAAGCAGGCTTGGAAGACCACCTAAGCTTTCCAGATGAATTGTTAAGTGCCTTAGGCTAACTTTACTCATAGACAGATTTAAATTTGCAGCAGAACTTCAGCAAACCACTGGTGTTTAAGTTGACCCTTCCACAGTGCAACACAAATTGCAATTAAGGAAAGGGCTAAAAAAGTGCATTGCAGCAAGAAAAAACATTGTTCTAGAAAGGCAACAAATAGAAGAGACTTAAGTTTGCTCACAAAACTGCACATTCTCTATATAAAGTAGTTACTTTGGTCTGATTAGTCAGTTTTGGAACTCGCTAGATACCAGTATATTCCTTGTAGGAATGATGAGAGATTAAATGATTGTTGGCATTCTTCAGTTTTAAAACATGAAAGAGGTAGTGTGTGTCCAAGTATGGGGCTGTTTAACCACAACTGGAGTTGGTGATCTCGACAATACTGTGGTCTTGGATTCTGTCCAATATAAACAAATATTCATTCACCATACTGTTTTTTTCTGGATATTATTTAATGGGGGAAATTTCATTTTCCAGCATGATGATAATTTCAAACATATAGGGAACTATAACTGTGTAACTTATCAATTAATTGACATAATCAGTTACCTATGAGCAATGGTTACATTCATTAAGGACTTGTAAACTAATCATTTAATCAAAATTATCATTGATTAATATCACAAAAATAATCACCTAATCAAAATTAATGTTTTTAGTTATTACTGTTTTTTATTATTCCCACAATTGATTATTCAAAATTATGATTAAATTGATTGTTGCAAAAGTAATCACCTAAAATTAGCTCTTCCAATTATTACGGTTTTTGATTCTTTCAAGAACTGATTAATTGAAATTATGATTAAATTGATTTTCATGAAAATAATGGACTGATAGAAATTAGGGTTTCCAATTACTATGTCTTCTAGTGAACATAGCGAGAAAAAGACATGAATAAATGTTGCAATTGATATACTTTTGAATGTTCTCAGACACATTAGAAGTACTGAGTTACAGTGATCAAAGTTGACACATTGGTAATTTCAAACTAGTTTCAGTCTCAATCACCACAAAAGTAATGTAAATATAAAGAAAAATATGGTTATTTTGTTACTTTTATTTTTGAGATCTGAAATCTGGGCCATTAGGAATCTACCCTAATTTGTAGAGAAGAAGTTGGTTGTTTGGTACATTTTCATAGGGGAACAACTAGCCTGGCCATTGGAAAGCTCTGAGCTTCAAGCGTTTAATTTGTGAGAGCATGCTGAACGAGTAGGAGTGCTATCCTGCATGAAGACACTGCCTTGTCTAGTAAATTGGTCATTGGCTTAGGCATGTGGAGATTTTGCTTGAAAATTGTGGTGTGGTGTATACTACCTTATCTGGTCATAGCTTGTAGATTATTCAGCAAAAGTTCCTATGAAGATAAGTGCCAAATCCAAGTGCATCCACACTAGGAAATTTTACAAATCTTGACACTTTTTAAAAAATGCGTGTTTCAAAAGGTGGGAGGGTGGGATAGCACATGATGTCTGCTACTATTGCCTGGAGTGAGGAGTGGCTTCTAACTAGTGTTCCATAATATTTCATTTTTTGAAGATAATTTCTGATAATATTGGTGCACACATGCATTCGTTCTGCAACAGTAGGAACCATTTGTGAGTTCCTTCTGTTGGGTTCTGGTTCTCAGACTTTGCTGAATCTGTTGTTTTCTGAAATTATTGAAACTATGTTGTTACTTTATTCACTGTGGACATCGGCATTGCAGTTGACCTGATGATTTCTTGCTAACTTTACTGCCCTCCCATACTTCATCTATGTAACCTTATGAAAATTTAGTTAATTCTCAGCATCCTTTTGCTTGTAGCAAGGCTCTTTGTGTATTGTTTACTGAGCTATACTTGTATTTATATGTCAGGCTTATTTGCATATAATGTCATAAAGATGATTGTTTCAGAGGACAAGCCAGAATCCCAAAACAGGGAGAAGCCACTTCTTCTTCTACTTGCCCACAGGAGAAGTTTTTGAAAAGCGGGAGACTTCACATTTCTGAATAAAATGCAGTCACAATGTGAAAACACAGTTTTTAATAAAGGAAATGTTGTTTATTTAGGGGTAAAATATTCCCATTACCTACACACACACATACATTGTATTTGTTTCAATTTGAATCAACAAAATAAACCGTCTTCATTGAAAATAATATAAAACCAATTTTTAAATTCACTGCATTTTTCTTTCCTTTTAAATTTTTATTTGTTCAACTTAATTTTTAAATTCCACTCATGATTTGTAATCTTAGCAGTACTTTTGGGCCTAAGCATGTATGTAATGTTTTTTCATGCATCTTTACAAATAGAGCTGTGCCAAAATCTTATGGTATCTTACACATTCTAACTAAACTCATTCTGACACAAAAGTTGGTGAAACTTCTTTGGTTTTTCATTTAATTTTTCAGTGATTTTTTTGGCTTGTTGATTTTCCTCAGAGTAGTCACTAAGGCCTACTAACTGGAGGTTTGAAAGATACTGAGGTACAGCATATTTATCTATTTATTTATCAAATTTGTAATTGAGTTTGTTAGGAAGAAAGAGACAAATCAAGGAAGGTGCACAAGAATAGTCTTATTTACAAGTAAAAGTGGATGATTTAATCAATTACATGTGAGCAGCTTTTACATCGATGAGTGTCTCAAACTAATTGATTAATTGAAATTACGATTAATCAGTTAATGTCAGGAAAATACACAACTAATTGAAATTAGTGTTTCTGGCTATGGTTTTTAATTATTCCATCAGTTGGTTAATTGAAATTATGATTAAATTATCAGAAAAATAATCAACTAATCAAAATTGGGGTTTTTCTTTCATGGTCATGTAACATGTCACACCAATTGAAGTTGCACAACAATTTGTGTAGAGCAGTGGTTTCCAGACTTTTCGTAATCATGGAACAGTAAAATTCCAAAAACATTATTGGGTACTGACATTCCAAATAGAATATCTGTTAATTACATAAGTAAAATAATACAGTTTTTACCAAAAAACAATTTATTTCAAAAAGAAAAAGTAGATTTAGGCAACTTTTATTCATCAAATGTTGAAAGAAACAAGTGTCAGTGCTTTCAACAGCCCAGATACGTTGCAGGCTGGCAGAAATTAAGTCAAGGACTGGTACCAGTCTGCAGACTGGTGTTTTGGAAACTTGTGAAGAGAAATTGGTTGTTATTGGTCAAATACCTTTGTTTAGGAGGATTACATAAAGATTTGTTTACAAAGGTGTCATGATTTCTAGGGAACTAGTGACTGAATATTGGTATAATTCTATATGGGCAATATTGATCTTAAGCTTGATGAATCTTTGGTTAATATTTCTCTAATATTTCACAACTGGAAATACATGAATATGTAAAAATATATTCAGGAGTTGTATTGAGGTTCTGAACAATATAAGAAGAAACTTTTTGTATTCATTTATGTTAGTTGAGTTAGTTCAAAGGACCTAGGTTTCATGAAGAAATAAAAATCAATTAAGTAAATGCATGCAAACCTCACTGAGAAATATTTTAATTTTTTTAAGAGGAGGTTGGTAGCATTGACCTCATTATATGTTGCACAAAAGCCTTTTGCAGTGAAAATTGCATTGCAAAGTAATAAATAGTCCATAACCAAGCCCATTATTTATATTGCTATCATGTAAGAACTCTGCTACAATCATTCCATTGTTAGCTTTTTGTCCTGCATATTTGTTACTAAGTAACAGTTATGTTAATACTCCGTTCATTTGCTTTGTAGCTTACCAAATTTTAGCATATATATATTTAGGGTAGTTTTGATATGAACCTGGCCTTGAATTGGATTATGGTTAAAACTCTTGATTGTATAATTTTGCCATTTATAAAAAAAACACACATGTACAAAAGTTTTCTTGGTAAATCAAAAGAAGTGTTAATGTACATGTAAGTAGTGTAGAAATCTTGCCATATTTTAGGAATTGTGAAATTTATGTTGACTATTCATGAGTATTATAAATGAAAACCACACATGTATATAATTTTATCTCAAGTTCAGCTTCTTTGTGTTTGTTTATGTTAACTTTTACAGTATTTATGTTTAATCAAAATCTTTCTAATTCTGTACCTTAGATTTCATACAATGGATGTGAAGACTGCAGCACTGAACCATTCCCAAGAGATCACCATTGATCCTGACAAGCAGTTAGCCAAACAGATATATCAAGGGGAAAGTGATGAATTTTTGTCTTGAAACAAAGTTGTAACATATTACAGAGAGTTAGAGAATGATTTGTAGAAATGTAACACTACTTTTATTTCTTGTACAGTTGAAAGTAATCACTATAATGAAGCTTATAGTTTCTGGAACCTATGGTCTGAGGTGTATATACTCTTCATCACAGTAACAGTAAAGTTTGTGTACTGTCGAGTTGCCAACATGTCAGCAGTCACTTTTGCACACAACAAATCTAAGCCATTGCCAGAGACAGAAGAAAAAGAGGAATTAACTTCAGTCCGAATAACAGTAAACCCTGTACAGAGTCGCATGTTTTCTCCACCACGTTCATCACAGTCAACGGCTGGTAGTTTCAGCATTGGTGCCCAGAGCTCAGGATGGTGTCCTATTCTTTTTGAGCGTGCATCTAAAGCCTGGTGGGATCCTAGATTTGACTCAAAAGTTCTTGAGGAACAGTATCATAGAAGTACTTTTCCCCTAACTTGTCAGCGTTTCCAGTATGCTCTTCTTTATCTTTTTCTAGCATCTGTCTCATACTGCATCTATTTTGCTTGTATGGCACACTCTGATTGGATTCCGTTTGTGGTTACAAGCTTTGTATTAATGTGTTATATTGTTGCAACACTTCTATTCACATACACTAAGCATTATCAGAAGTATTATTTTTCAGTATCACTTTTCACTACAGTTTTTCTTTGTGCCTTGTCACTCTCTGTTTTTGCAAGCTACATTGGTAAGCAGAGTACAGCTGATCTTAGCCTTTCTCCTATTGGCATTTTCTGTATCTGTTTAAAGATTCTATTAATACTGTACACTGTGATACCTTTGCCTCTGTATCTATGCTTTTTGATTGGTGGAACATATTCTATAATATTTGAAGCTCTTTCTGCAGTGCTAACTGAAGACAACACATCTCTTATTATTGGCATAAAAGTCATGCTGCAAATGTGTATACATATGATTGGAATTCTGATCTTGCTCATGGCTGAGGTTAGAATGCGGAAGACCTTTATGAAAGTAGGACAGTCTCTATTGGTTAGAAGAGACCTAGAAGTGGAACAGCAGTTAAAAGAAAGAATGATTCATTCTGTAATGCCCCCAAAAGTTGCTAAGTGGTTAATGTCCACACAAGATAGGGAAGACGAAGAGCAACAAAAACCTGAAAGTGGTAAGAGACGAATTTCTACCAGTCCTCGGCAGTCCCAGATGATCTTTCGTCCATTTAATATGCACAGAATGGAGGAAGTAAGTATTTTATTTGCTGACATTGTAGGTTTTACTAAAATGAGTTCTAATAAAACAGCAGAACAGTTGGTTGGGCTATTGAATGACTTATTTGGCAGGTTTGATTATCTTTGTGCCAAACTTGGTTGTGAAAAGATAAGCACTCTAGGTGATTGTTACTACTGTGTTTCTGGATGTCCAGAACCTCGATCTGATCATGCAAAATGTTGTGTTGAGATGGGTTTGGCCATAATTAAAGCAATTGGAGAGTTTGATGAAGACACTAATGAAGATGTAAACATGAGAGTTGGTGTACACACAGGTACTGTGCTCTGTGGTATTGTTGGTACAAGGCGTTTCAAGTTTGATGTTTGGTCTAATGATGTTACTTTTGCGAATCTTATGGAGTCAACTGGGAAACCAGGATGTGTACATGTTTCAGAGGCAACTTTTTCTTACATTCAAGATATTTATACAGTTGAAGAAGGTCTTCCACAACATGGTATGTTCTTGAATAGCAATATGTGTTTTATAACTCACAGTTGAAACAAACAGTATAGTCTTAACATTTGGGTTAAATTTGATTAAACTCCATGTATCAGTATATTAATTTTTTATTATGTCCATCTTTCCTCATGATTAACAAAATATTTCTATTGGAAAATCATAATTATGTGCTAAAAGTAAAATCAGTCACCCACAATATGTTTCTAAAAAAATGAAGTGTGTTCTAGCCAAAAATTATTTGTCAAAGAGTAAGGGAACACAAAACAGTTTGAAACAAGACACATGTTAGCACATTTCAGAAAGCCATGATGATCATGCAATTCACATATCAGTAATTCTGTGAAAAGTTTGTGTGACAAAAGGAGTTAATTATGATTTTTTTAAAGAATTTTTAAATACTCGTACTTATAGTTTAAATTCCTTTAAGAAATTACTGGAACAGGTAATAGCACACTGCATTTTGTTTATTTCAAGCAACAAAAACTATAGATAGATATGAATAAGAAATCTGCTGGAAATTTTTAAACACTTAAAGTTGCATAGCTTTTCAGGAAAGATTTTTTTAAAGAAGAATAGTATGTCTGTAACACTATATAGGATTATAGATTATGTTTAGCCAGTCATAAATGTTTATTTTTCATCTGTGAATTATTTTTCTCTAAACAACATTTTTTTTCAGGCCATTTTTTTTTTGTCGAAGTTCATAATTTGCACATCTTGTAATTATAGCATCAATTCCATGTCATTTAATGCCATGTCTCAAAAATCACCATACACCCAGTCATATAACTTTTATGCTGTTAATGTTTTGACACTTTGTGTGTGCTTTGGCCATCAGCCTTCCTTTAAATGTTCCACTTCCCCCTTCATGGCACACTTTATTCAAGGCTATTATTAACTGAATGTGTACAGGATCGGTTCATTGGAGAAGGAATGTTTACTATTGTTCTAAATATTCTGTGTGTGCCTATATGATATGTGGCAAATATTTTTGTAAAATGTAGAAGTCTGTTGTCAGATGTGTCACAAAGGTATTTGTATTCAAGATATGTCTGTGAATTGATGATGTCAGTCTGACTTAGATTCTTAGAAGTTGGATTACAAGGTGATGTTCATTTGAAGAATAAAAATACTTTTCTCCATTCCACAGTTTGCATATTGCATTTCAATAACCTGTAATCTAAATTACATGACCTTAGTATAAAGAAAGCTATTAACACTGTTTTAGAGAGGAAAAACTAACACCATATATTTTAAAGAATCTGGTTGGTTCTGTAAAGTAAAGGTCTATTTTGAATAATAGGGTTGCGACTCCTATAGCTAATGTTTGTTAATATCGAGTGTCACTTTTATACTTGCTGTGGTTTGTTAGTGTGTATTGACAAAAAGTCATGATATCTAATCAAAAACATCTTAGGTGTGAAAAAATGGAGTGGATGAAAAAGGACTGGGTGTGCAACTTAAAGGAATAAAATCAAAATTGGCAGACAAACTGGTAATTACACTTATAGCATTGATAAAAATTTTACAGCAAATATTCATTCATTAATTAGCTAGGTTGCATATTTTGTTTTACCCACCATCATGCCCCAAGTTGAACAAAAAATGCAGCCTGGCTAACTAATGAATGATTATTTGCTGTAAAATTCTTAACAATGCTACAAGTGTAGCTACCAGTTTGGCCACCAAGATACAGAAGGTGGAAAATTGCTAAACTGTCACTACTGTGTGTCTAGATTTGGTATATACTCTCCTCTACCACAAATTGTCACTAAATTAGCAGTGTAGGGTAAAATGAATAATTGATAATTCTGACATCAAATACACAATACCATGTTGAATAGCACTCTCTAAAAGGTTGAAGCATGTGTACTTTACCTCTACCTGTGCATGTAAGTTTGATTAAAATAATATGTTGCATTCCATTGGTGCCAATCTTTCCATTGTGGAATTAGCTTGAGTTCTAATATTCATTATCCTGCTCCTACTAAGGATGATGTGGCTTCTAGATTTCACTTTTTGCTGTTTTAATGTCTCATTTATCTTTATTATTTCCACATTTCTTGCTTTTCTGTGATACTTTTGGGGCCACTTGCTTATTTCTACATGTTATAGATCAGGGTGGTTTATTTGCTTTTACACAGTTGTTCTTGTTCTCACATTTGATGAGCTTGCTTTGATTTGTTAACTGTTAGGAAGGCATTGGACATAGGATGTGTTAATCTGTTTGAATGAGAAATTGCTAATTCATCATTGTTGACATCTAGCCCAGATGCATATTATTATATTCTTGATTTTTAGTCATTTAATCAATTGTTTTTACAATTTTCATTGGGAAATACTCTTGAAATTATTGAAATATATATTCTTGTTGAGCTGTTTATGGGAGGGGGGACTAATTTGGCCCTTTTCACATCTAACAAAATATTTTCTGTTAGCAATGAATGTGAGCATCTGATGATGAAGGCCTTTGCATTGTGTACTGTCACCCAACACATTTATTTTACTTTTAGAAAAATCTTAGAATGATAACCATAAACTCCAGCACATTTGTTTGTTTGGCCAAGCTGTTACAAGTTGTTCTCTATTTTCACTTAGTTTATCGTCTGTTTGTTTCATGTTGTCTGCTTTTATACCTTTGAATAAGTTATTCTGTAACAGAATCTTGATCATATCCTTTGACTTTATGAGCTACTATGTATTTCATGTTGCATGGTGCTTATTTCTCAACATGTTTTCTTGTTGGATTTTAATGTGCTTGTTCTTTTTGTATTTTTGTTAATACTAGATGAATATATATTTATTGTTGCAGATTAAGTATAGATTGTTGGTCCAGTGATATCTTCTTTTATATGCTGTTTAGTGGGATTCTTTGTTAACAATGCTTTTTGGTGTCAAATCACTGATGAAAAAAACTGTCTTTACAACTGGTAAATGGCTAGTATACTGGTCTTTGATCATTCATGAAGGCTATTCAAAAAGATAGAGAGAGAGGTTATGAATTCTAGACATACGTGACTAAGCACAATTTAATATGTAGTGATAAAGTCTGTATATCTACCGGAGTTAAATTAACATCTGAAATGTTAATTTTAAACCTTTTCATTATGAACAAGAGGGAATCCTCAATAGCCATGGCTGTAATTAGATCTCAAATCAGTCAAGAGATAGAGCTATGAGCTAAAAGTTTGTTCTTGAGCCATTATGCAATAGCTAAAAACTATTAGTCACTTTTATATGTTTATTTATAAAATGTTTGAATATTCACGTATACAATTAATTTTTCATCAGTAGTATTTTTTTTATGTAATGTGCTGAAATCTTAAGTTTATTCATTATTGTTTTACTTGTAATTGTATATGACTTTGGTAAAAGGTTTATAAATAAGAGCTGCTTTTGTATTTTGTGATTTTAGATATTAAAGGATTTTTACATACCTTTATAAAGCAAAAAGATAATTTAAAACACCTCAAAGAAGTTGTAGCATGATCCTTGCATTAAAAACTTGCATGCTTGCTATTCAGAAATACTGATTGTAGTAATTAGCTTAATTGAAAATGTGATATTAGAAAATTTAAATGTACAGTGTACCAAACAAAATGTGAGTATGAGATTTGTGATGCTATATAGCTTATTAGTTAACACATAGTAACTAAAATACATGATTTAGAAATGAAATCACTATAATTTTATACTTGAATAGAGTGTATTAGTTATTATTTTACAGAGTTCAATTTTAATTGATAAGTTACTTTTCTTTCTAAAGAAACTTTTTTTTGGTAGAAGTGAAGACTTATTTCATTCGAGGTCGAAAACTTGCAGCAAGAAGTGGCAACAGATCTTGTCGCCATTCATGGCCAACAAATTCTATACCCTTGCCTAACATTCATCATCCTGGTGGTCGTAAAGCTAATAGTCTTTCAGAAAGAGGAAATGATTCAGAGGGAGATGGTTCTACAATGCCAATGTTACAACCTCAAAGACATGGAAGTCTCTCCACCCTCACAAGCAGTAGGAAAGACTCTGGAATTCGAAGTAGACGTAGCAGCTTACAAGATGTAGTAAGTAATTATTAATTGTTTTTCATAATTGCATTTTCTAAAAGTAAATGGATTAGCTGCTCAAAGTGCTGTATGTTCCGAAATTTTGCATTAATTACTGTATAACTATAATTGTTCAATTCAAATTATACCAATAATATCAACTCCATCAGAAGAAACATTTTTTATTTTTATACAAAATTCAACTTGTCCATCTGCATGTTAATCTTGTCTTCTCTTAATGAACAAATTACCACACTCTTAGGCTTAAGTAGAATGTGTGTATATTTAAGTTTAGAAACATATATAGATAAACATTCATAAAATATCTAATATAAGTTAGTTAATAAGCACTTTAAATGAAAGTTGTGAAAAATATTAAACTTCAACTGTTATAATAAGTTTGATTTTGGATAACTACTGTTTACAGTTTAGCATAGCCTATATAGCCAACAGAGTTTGCACAATACAGTATTATCATGTTCAAAATACTTGAGTTTGAGTATAGAAATTTAGAAGTCTGTGATGTTTTTGTAATTCTATTGGCTGTTTAAAAAGCCTAAAAGGGTAAGTTCAGTCATACTTGAACATTAATAGTATGTTTTTTTTACTTACCTATAATCTAGCATACAAATTAAGAATGCACAGATACAATCCTCAAATCATTTTAAAGGGGGCATGCATGAGGTGCATATCTTAGTATGTTAAAATATTTTTAGTTGCTATATATGTATGTATGTATGAACTTTTTAACAGACATCAACTCGTATTTATTCTTGGTATTTATCCACATATGGAATACCCAGTTTGTTATTAGTCTTCTTTATGCAAGTTTTCTCTAGCATATTTCATGATTGGTTATTTGTATTATACCTGTAGGAATATAGAGTATTGTACTCTTGAACAAAAAATAATAATCTGTAAAGGTCATTATATACCAGATCATGTTTTTACAAAGGTGCTCATAAAAATGTGTTGAGGGTTCCTTTATACACACTGGGCCTCCTTCTCCTATCTGTTCAGCCAACTTTCCTTCTCAATTTCAACATAATCAGGACTGTGATTATTTGACCTGCTATTCCACCATCAGGGCTTACTCCAAACACAACTGTATTTATGGAAAAATATCTTCACTCTTCTATTCTCTTACTTGTCATGATTTCACAGGTATGTTCTCTTCTTTCTCTTTTCCATTTTTCAACTGCATAACTGTGCTAACATGTCTTGTCCTTCTACTCTGCTTAACTGTTTTATCCCAATTTAAGGGCATTATTTGTATCTGTTCCTCAATTCCCAATCTTTGGATTCTCCTTCCCCTGTTTGGTGAACCTCTTAACTTCTGTTTTACTTTATAGTACCCAACTTTTGCACTTTTGTCTTTTTTACTACCCTCTGACATTACCTCTTGGTACTTTACCTTCTTACTGAGGTACCTTGTGCTCAAGATGAGTATCGGAGTATTTTCTGGAGTATTCTCTTCAGTAAATTGACCCATAATTCTTCTTCTGTTCTGTTCCTTCTCCTGCTGTTGGGACTTATTGGGATAGGTTGCCATCTTAATAAGTGTATATTTCCCTCATACTGCCATTTATAATTTTCATCGGGCTCCAATTCTGTGTCCAGAGGTCTTTGGTGGTGTTTCTGACCAACTGGACACCAAGACTTTTGCAGCCCAGCATCAGTCCTCATTGTCTAACATGATTTCTTGTCTTTCTCATCCTTGATGCTCTGTTCCTGTTACGGGCTTACTAAATCAGCATTTGAGCTTCCCGACTTTCTATTTCCTGCTCTCCCACTGTCCAAAGTTGGGGTTTTAACACATCTTGTCTGTGACTACCTTGTCACCTCTGGCCCTGAAAGGGCCCATTTGTCTTTCTTTGCCAATCTTTGGTCTCCATTTTCATCCTTAAGATGGGTTATTCAGGTTCTCACCTAAAGCCTGTTTCTCCACTTCACTTCTCCTCTCCTCCTTTTCCACTCTTTTCTTTCTGTTTCTTTTTTTCCTCCCTCTGTTCCCCCTTGTCTTCAATGTTTCAAGGATATGTTCTCAGATTTCTTGGCTGAAAATGCTATCAAGACAGCATTTACCTTGCAACTGGTTTTACTCTTATCTTTTTGTGTTCCTATGATGACTGGGTTCTAGTGTCCAGTTATTGACCTGTCATCTTTCTGCTGGTTTTTTTTATCCTTCCTTGGTTTTGTGTAGAGTATCTTTTCTACTTGGTGTTTTTCTCCACATGGATTGTGGATGACCATGGTTGATGTGTCTGGCACCTTTTTAGATATACCAATTGTCTTGTCCTCCAGAAGTCTTCTTTGTTTCATCCACAGGGATAGAGTAATCGAGTTCTGTACTCTTCCTTTTGGCTTTGCACCTGCTCCTTCATTCTTTCCTCAATTCATGGGGCTACATGCCTGCCTTATTCTTTGTTTGGGACTGGACTTCCTATCTTACATGGATAATTGTCTTCTTCTTGCTCTTTCTCAGAACTCTTTCTCTCACATCTGCATGCTTCTGCGGGAGACTGCTTGGCTGGACTAGCTTGTCACACCTTCCAATTATTTTCTTGTACCCATCCTATATTTGGCACATCAGGGCATATTTTTCCTCTCATCTCAGTTGGGCTCAGCTTTCACCACTTTGCTTGCGAGTGATGAAATGTAATGTCCCCTCGACTTGTATTTCTACTTTTCACCCTTTCACTCCTTTCTTCTCTTCTCATGAAAACTTTATTTTGGTGGCTTGACTATGCCAACACGATGGTGGACATCCCCTTTCCATCCCCTGACTGTATCTACATCACATCTTTGATGCTTCACTGTTAGACTGTGGGATGTATCTAAATGACAATGTGCCTTAGGCATATGGGCCACAGGGTATTGTTCACTATACATCTGTTTCGTTTACCTTCTCATTGTCTGTTGGGCATTTTCCCATTTCTTCTGTTATCTTCTGGATCAGCTAGTCAAGATCCACTCTGTCTATTTCCTGAATGTTGCTTGTTGGTAAACTGTTTTTTAACCATCAAAGGGGTGCCTGTTTCAGGACTCTTTGGTTTCATGCATTGGACCTATTTGGGGTTTTTCCCATAGGGTTTTTCTTATGCCTAGTCATGTTCCTAGGGCTCTAAACTTGTTGGCAGTTCGTTTCTCTCACCATAACAGAATGCTACCCATGGTGTGGTCTCTCCACCCTCTGATTTTGTTGGGTTTACTCTCAGCTGAGTATGCCCCTCATCACTACTCTCAACTCTAAACTTCCCCTCTTCTGGTCTCTATTTAATTTTGGTGGGATAGCAACTTTCTGAATTTCATTTGCTCCAAGGCACAAGTACATTGAATTTTTTTTTTTCAGTCTCATAATGAGAAAGATATAAATGCCATTTCTATCTTTATAGGTCCCCACTTGACTGTAATAAATAGCATTTGCTGAAATACACCGGTATTTAGATATTGTTTTGCTCTGCTACACAAACAATCAGTGTGATGTACTGCTGACAGCCATTATCTTGACTGTCTGACATCAGCTGAATTATGCTGCCATATCTCAAGAGACAAAAAATCAGAACATAAGTATCTATTCTTGGGATATGTCATTGACAATAAGCAACCAATCAAAAACTGGTGACCCATTATCCCTTTCCTGTTGTTAGGAGCATTAGCATTTGAATCAAAAACATACCAGTTACTTGCTGAGATAGGAATTCATTTAAATTGTGTAAAACCTAGATGATAAGCAGAGCTTGCATATACTTGTGAAAACAGGATGTGACATCATTGTGTTTCAAATGCAAACTGATCAGTTGTGGTTGACTATGATTTAGGGGTTTTGCTACTAGTAGGCCATTTATTTTAAAATTAAGAAACTTTGGGGTTATGAGGCTGTTTTAGCTTTAGGCTAATATTCATACTGATAAACTGTATTGGTTGGAAGCAGTCTGCAGTGCATGCCAAACATAAGACATGCACATGGTTTGCCCGTAGAAATTTCCTATGTTATTTTAAACAGTGCTGAAGACAGATTTTGCATTACTGTTAGGTACTTTGCTTGCTAAGTGTGTGTTATAAAAATATGAAATAGTTATATATGTTCTGAATACACTTCCTGGCCATAAATCATAGTGTAGTTTTACCTAGTATGATATTTTTTTGTGCCACTCAGCTCTGGTTTGATTTTTAGGATCATTTTGCACTGGCATGTATTCATTTCAGGCCCTGAATTATTTACTTATCAGGACCTAAATTTTCTCCTTTTTTTTGTATAAGGTTATACACAACATTATTTTTGTTCTGGTATCTTTGTTTCTCAAGGTATTTTTCACACCTTTTAGGATCAGACTATTTAAGCATGTACTTTAATTTGTGCTAGAATGAGTGATACCCATTTTTAAATATGAAATTAAAGAACCCCAAATTCAGAAGCATTTAGAATGCTACCAGACTCCATAATAAAATTTTATTTTTTTTCTACTATATCTGGATATTGACTCATGTTATTTACTAACAACATAATAGGCTTTAGACACATAATAATTTCATGAAAGTGTATGCATAGTTGCAAATTCCTTAAGCACTAAATTGTTTAATAATTAATAAAACAGTAAAAATTTGTCTGCAATCTGTTATTTTCACATATACGTTTAGTATAAAATCCAATTATTAAAGGATTGAACTATTTCTTGATTAAATCAATGAAATGTAACTTGTATTTCACTTCCTATATCTGAGGGTCTTGGGTTAGATTTGACCGATCTTACAACCACCATAAAAAATTAGGAAATAAATATAAACTTTGCCTCTTTCATTCTAGAATGAACTCAGATTATAACATGAAAACATAAATGTTTAGACTAAATAGCTTAAATCTCATAACATACATTTATATATATATATTTCTCTTTCAGCCATGCCTGGCTAACAATACAGAAGTTACAATGACGCGGTTCATGTGCACCCATATTAAATAACATAAAACTAACCTTTGATCTGTACAAAGTAACTTGTCTTGGCTGTGTTTTGGTAGACTAGTAACTAAAGAAGTAAAGCAAACAATTATATCTTCTAGTTATGACCTTTGTACTTGGTTGCTGCTTGACAAAGAAGTTGCTAAGCCTTTAAAAAAATTGCACGGTGGGGATATGAAACAAAATGTTTTTTGTAGGTTTTATATATACATTTGAATAACTAAAAAATCATATATTACTACATCAGTACCATAGAATTCCACTATAATTTATCAAGCTTAGTAACTAAGATGTATTTTAGTCTCAAAAACTATGAAATTGTGAGCAGACTAAAGACACACCCTACCTCATTGAAATATTGGTTCAAAGGAAAGAAATAGCACCAAGTCCCTTAAAATGGTTTAGAAAGCCACTAGGGGGACATTTTGGACTTCCAATTGATTATTCATGTCATATATAGAAGTATGTGTATATAAGGGAGCATTTCCAAAAATGGAAAGAGGTGGGCAATATCTTAGCAAACTGAAAAGATAAGAGGCTCTTATTTTGTATTCTAGCTTGTCAATATCAGTAATCTGAGTTTCTAATTCATTTGAAACTATAGAGTATTTTGACTTCACAAACATCTAATTTGAACCAATGCTGCATTCAACATACGACGTGACACACAAAAATCGATGTTTATCTGTTTTTTTAATACTTGCTTTTAAATTAAGAAATTGAGTAATATATAGTTCTAAAATTTGAAATATAATCTGTAGTTTGATATCAAATTTATTGATATAAATTCATGAAATAGTAGTTCATTAAAATTTTGAATGCGAGTCAACAAACGAGATGACGTGGCCTTTCACCCGTGACCCGTCTTGAAAGGGTTAAGGCTTCAGATAATAACTGATTACAATGGACAACAAAAAATTTGCTATTGGAGAAAACGCAAGTGATTCAGGGTAATTTGATGGTTCTGATTTCCAAAATATAGTCAGAATTTGTGCATCACCTCTGGATTTTGAGTTATAATATTTCAATATTTTATCAGCACTATGTGAAATACCATGTGATCAACTCAGTACAATAGATTTATGCTGTGAAAATGTATTTACATGGAGAGTTTAATGGGTAAAAGGCATGTATTTTTGGTAACTTCAAACATTGACTGTATTGTATTGGTGTAAAATTCCAAATATATAATGTTCATATAAGTTACTTGTTCTCACTATAATTGTAGTGAATTGCACCACTTTTGGTTCATTCCCATGCTCACCTGCTCTTCATGGTAATCACGATACCCTCGTGTTCAGTTTGCTAGAACATTCGGAAAGACCCTCAATTGAGCATAAAAGGAGTAGAGTCAGATGCCTCTCACTCATTCAGTTGGTCACTTCACTTTGCTACGTGCACAGTCAAAACAATGTCCAATCTTTTTCCTCACATCATACCTGCGATATAATCAAATCCTGCAAAACTTTATTTTGTAAAATCTTTTAAACTTTAGTTCTGTAAACATAAATTATTTTATATTTGTTAGAAAATCATTTGAAATACTGGCTGCCTCCTGTTCAAGTAAAGTCTGAAAGTGCAAAAATCACCCAAACAGTTTCTGCTACATTTGTGAAAACATATTACAGTTTCACGAAGGTTAACATCATACACATGGTAAAGGTAGCTTACTACCACTATTTGGGGTATAAAATTGGTGACCAAGAAAAACATTGGGTTCTACATGTAGGTTGTACAGTTTGCACATATGCCTTGATATAGTAACTGAACAAGAAGAGAGCAAGTATGCCATTTGCTGTTCCCATGATATGGTGTGAGTCCAAAGATCATCTAACTGACTGTTATTTTTGCATGACTAATATTTCTGGATATTCAGGCAAAAACTAAACAATGCACATTGCATCTTCAATGAACCCAATACCTCATGGGTATGGTCTTACAATGCCACATCCACTAGCTAATTGGAAGACAGAAGAATTATTCTGTGAAGAAGAGAATGAATCATCTTCAATCTCTTCATCTAGAAATCCTATTCCTGTGGCACCTCAACATGTTAAATGACCTGATTTGTAATTTGTCTCTGTCAAAGAAACATGGGGAACTTCTTGGCAATGGAAGTTTTAGCTCCAGGAACAAGAGTTTCAATTTATCAAAGTTGCCATCAAAGTCTTGCATCTCACTGCAGCATGCAAGATACTTCGTGTTTCTGTACAAATGCACTAATGGAAGAATTAGGTACTGAACATCATTCTCAAGAATGGAGTCTTTTTATCAACTCATCCAAAGTCTGTCTGAAAGCTGTACTTTTGCATAATGGGAACACTAAGCCATTGGTTCCTGTTGCTCATGCTGTGAACATGAAAGAAACTCATCAAAACATGCAGATTATACATTCTTAAGTGCAATTTTCAATGAATAAATAAAGTTACTAAAGAAAAAAGTTATTTTCATGACATATAAGAATATTTTGAATAAATCAATCATAACTCAGACTAGAGGTGATCAGTAATTTTCAACATAATTCTTAGAATCAGCATTGTTAAAATACTCAAAAACAGTTGCATTTTTTTTAGTAGCAGAGAAAATTTGTTGTTGTTGCCCTGTGTTATTTTTAAGCTAATACAACAACAGAAAGTTAATTAACTGTTGCAATTGTAAATTTTTGTGTCCTGCCTTTTTCCAGACATGCTAACAACATGTGTAGACTTTAGATATTTGTTTTCATCAAAGTTACTGTTGTTTAGGATTCTTGTAGCTCTTTCAACATAGACTTGTTAGAGAATCAATTTCTCATTGTTTGGAAGGTAGAATTCTCATTTGGAAAATGTTTTGATATTATTATTTATGTCTAAAATATGTCCACTAAACCCAAGTTATGAACAACAGAAGTTATGTATGACGCACCATTCTAATTTTAGTAGTTAGCCTTGATAAAAAGCCTATGAAATAAGGCAAGTTGTATCTAAGGTAGTGGTTTTTTCCTTCATCTTTGATGTATATTTTATACTAGAATATTAGGTCTGTTTATCTAATAATAGTATGCCCACCTACATTATTATATGCAAATAAGATTACCAGACTTGTATCATAATATACACAGATTTTTCTTTTCTTGTTTACCATGGACAACCATGTAAAGTCTTTAGAAAGGTGCCAGTTATCATTTGGCACTGGAATTATTATTTTTAAATAGAATATTATCTTTGGTTATTTACACATGATTTTAAAGAAAAAAGAAGGAACAAAAATTGAGCAGTTCTGAAATAAATAGAAAAATGTCATTGTATTTGGTATATTAAGCATGACCAGGAAGTTTGGTCTTCTATTGTCAGCTATCTCAAAATGATTTATGATAAAAGAATGATTGGAAAAAAAGGACCATTAACAGTGTAATACTTCCACAAAGCATAAAAGTTCAGTTTACCTATTAACAAAATGATTGCAGATAGGACTCTTGTTCTATTACCAGAGTTATATACAAATTTTAAAAAAGTTAGTTTCACCATAGAACAACTAATGTATCTGTTTAATCAGTATTGAATAATCAGATATAATTATTATTTTCTGTTGTATGTTCTTGTTATGTTTTTGTAGAAACATAATAACATTGAAGCAGTTTTTCCAGTTCCAGGTTAAATAATGCAATAAAATGGTACATGTGTTAAAAGTTCAGTTTACTGTTTTATATTAAATACAAATAACGTTTTAATTAACGTAAAAAAAATTATTGTTTCTCTGTGGATTTTAATAGTTTGTTTTTCTTACCATAGATGTTGGATACAAGCTACGTTTCACCAACTAACCTCTTATCACATCGTGTAGGCCCTGGATGCTTTACTTCTAGCCAGACATCATTAGCTGACACTGGTCGTGGTAGTGGTTCTAGCGTGAAGGGTTGTAGTCTTTTAGTGGATCCTACCCTTTCACTGAATGAAAGTCTAGCTAGATTGAGACACCTAAGAAAACAGTCAGACCTACAAATGATCCGTTGTGTGCAGCAAGATGCAGGCCACATTGATTACTTTGTAAAACCTCCTATCAGCCAGTTATCTTTATTTTTTGTCATACCAGCAATGGAAAGAGACTACAGACAACTTCATTATCGAGACTCAAAAGATGTAACCTTAACTGTGTCATCTGCAACTTTTAATATGTATTGTGATGTATTTGTGTCAGCTGTAGTGTATATTGTTATTGCAGTTTCATGCTTTATGCTTTTTCATTCTCCTTTACCATGGTTGCTGTTCTGTCTTCTGGCTACTTGCTGGGAAATGTTCATTATCCTACTGTGTCTGAGGGAGACATTTGCTTCTCGAGGATATTGTAGAGCTGCGTGCTTGTCTCAAGTCTACAGATTCTGTACTCAGTGGTATCCATGGCACATTTGTGGAGCTATTCTTGTTAGTCTCCCTGTAGCTTCTGTCTTCTCCAACTTTTCTTGTGGCAATGTACTGACTACCCCAGAAAAAACTCATGCCTTTCTATATCTGATGTTTGTGTCCATCTTCCATTTCTGTAACTTTACCCACCTGAACTGTTGGCTTAAATCTATCTTGGCAAGCACTGCTGTAGCTGGTCTTGTTTTGCTCTTGAGTGCATCATATTGTCAGTGTTCCGTAGATTACTGGCCAGAACCAACATCCGTTGTTTCTACATTTAATAGGTCAGATTTTCTAGGACCAGATGATATGGTTGTTGAAACAAATACTGCCACAGTTTTATATCATTGTGGACATTCTCTAGTGTATGAAATTATTCTGGATGGTATTCTGATTACCATTCTCATATGGTTTTTAAATCGAGAGTTTGAAATCAGTTACCGGCTTAGTTTTCATGGAAGTGTTACAGCAGCTCGAGACAAAAAGAAAATTCAGGCCATGAAAAATCAAGCTGATTGGCTATTACATAATATCATTCCGAAACATGTTGCAGAACAGCTGAAATCAACTTCTAAATACTCAGAAAACCACAAGGATGCAGGTATAATTTTTGCAAGTATTGTAAACTTCCATGAAATGTATGATGAATCGTATGAAGGAGGAAAAGAATATCTTCGTGTTTTAAATGAGCTTATTGGAGACTTTGATGAGCTCTTAAATAGACCAGAATTCAAGAATGTGGAAAAAATCAAGACCATAGGTAGTACATTTATGGCTGCCTCAGGCTTAAACCCACATATTCGGCAACAGAATCCACACCCTTGTACACATTTGTTTGAGTTAATGGACTTTGCTCTTGCAATGCAACAGGTAATTGAACGGTTTAATTGTGACTTGCTGGAATTTAGTTTCATTTTTCGAATTGGATACAATTTTGGAGACGTCACAGCTGGTGTTATTGGTACAACTAAGCTATACTACGATATCTGGGGGGATGCTGTAAATATAGCCAGTAGAATGGACTCAACTGGGATTCCAGGCCATATTCAGGTTCCCGAGCATTGTATGTTTGTATTGCAGGATGTGTTTGAATTTGAAAAAAGGGGATCTGTATATGTTAAAGGGAAAGATGATATGAATGTTTATACTTTGGTTAAGAAAAAAGATGGGGTTGATTATCCAACATTACCTCTAGCTGAGCCAAACAATTCTTCAGATGAGGAACTGGAAACAGAAGGCTCACCACCTCTGTGACACAGTTATGTTTTAGTGGGAAAAATGTTCATACTCAGATTGTTAATTTTTCATGATAATGTAGTTGCTAATTTTTTAGTAAGAAAAGCATTCTTAAAGATGCGTTGTTATCAGCTACTGCCATGTTGTTAGAAAAATAATATAAGTGCTGCTTGTAAGTTTGTTTTATAACCTAAAGGCTCATGAAATGACAATTTTAAACTAGCCAGTTCAGTGTCAGACAAAACATGCATGTGAACATAATTCAGAAGTCAAAACCTGCAAAATGCGGATGTATAGTTATTTGACTTGACTTGTAAAATATTTTTCTCAATGATATTTCAAAATCTGAAGAATAATGAGGTAGAAACTACTGAATGCATGGAAGTTGCAAATAACTGTTTATATAGTAAGTATTGCATTCTTTAGGTTGCACAGTATTATATACATCCACACTTATACATAGATGCTTATGACTATAAGGTGTCAACTTTGAAACATAATGTTCTATATTTACTCTATGCATGAAGGAAAAACAAAACTAATTCAATTTAATGGTTTATGGGGAAAAAAAGTATGTTCTCAAGTTTGAATGATGTGCTTAACTAATTAGAGAAAAATTAATCAGTAGTCATACTTAGATAGCTGTCCAGTGTTTGACCATAGATAAATTTACATTTTCATTATTGCTGGTAATCATGACTTACAGGATTAGCGCAAGTATGCACTGATATTTATGATTGGCTCAATTATTGGAAGTACCTTGTAGCTACAGCAAATAACCATATGTTTGAGGTAATTTATATACAAGTTTTTGTTGTTGCTGCATTGTATGTTAGGCATAATGACATTTTTAAATGTTTCAATTTGTATATAATGCTTTGTAGACGAGTAAAAAACTACATACTTGACAGTAGTGATTTACAAAGTTTACTGTTGTAATGTGTTTATAAGAATTCATGTAAAAATACCTGAACCCCATCTTCTGCAACTATTTTATCTGTAATATATGCTACTAATATTCAGTTTCTTTTAAGCTTAAGAAAGTATTCAACTTTTAGAAGTATAGGCAACTATTTAAGAAAGGTATGTTTTCTCATATCAGAATATTTCTTTCATTGTCTCAAGCTCATACTCTTTAAAACAAAAATCAGATTACAGTAAGTCTATTGAAACAATTGTGTGAAAAAACAGTGAGATCACTGCTGTATTGGATAAGTTAATGTTCTGAAATTGATAAAGTATGTACATTCCATGTAAAAGTATTGTTTTTTGTTACCAAACGTTATTTTGTTCTTATTAAATTTTAAAAAACATCAGGTATATGTATAAGAAAATTTCTAAATTTATGTATTTCATCAGAGTAATTTTGGTTATAAAAATTTATTGTATGCTTATTGACCTTAGAAACAAAGGTTTTTTATCACCTTGAAAAATGTCAACTTTTCTTGTATGTACAATTTTTATAAAGTATCCCTATTTTGTATTTGTTTCTTTACAGTCACTTCATACATGTGTAAAACTTTAATACACTTTTGGCTGGTGTACAGCAAGATCATTATTGAATTATAACTTTACCCATCTGATTTTTCAAAGGAAAACTTTCAGTTTTTGGTCTACAAAAGGAGTTGAACTTGCAATGGTTTTGTATATATATCCAGGTTTTATACAACTTAAAACATTTAATATTGGACTTGTTCAAAATTCACTTGTGATAAAATGCATCACTTGGGATTTTGTATTTTTGAAGTGTGAGCAATGTTTAATTGGGATACGTTAATGAGTAAAGAACAAAATCTATTGCTAATGTTGGGATTTGGTGTTTTTACATGTATTTCTTTCAGTGTGCATGATATATATAATATGTTTTCCAAGATGGCGACACATGTTTAAAATATAAGGATGTTCAGTAAAAACAAAACAGAATGTTTTTAGTGTGTCTGATTGCCTTAGGTTTAAAGTCAGTGTTACAAAATAACTCCATATAATACAACATTAGAATTGATGTAGAGTTAAAAACTAATTTTGTTAACTGTACTGAAAGTTGTTTCCAGAATAGTAACAGTGCTCTTTGTCTATAAAGGTCCAAGATACATTATTGTTTGTAGTTGCCAGAGAGTTTGAACTAATGCAACACCTACAGGATGTTAACCATAGTGAGATGCATTAATAATAGGATTTACATTAAATCAGTTATAGCTGAGAAAAGTTTAGCTCTCTTTCATCACGGGTGTGCTGATTATAAAGAACTGAAACAAAAGTGCCATTAGTTCTGAGTTTTGGGATCAAATCTTGATCTAAGTAATATAATAAATCTCAAAGTTGTGTATATTTTTGTATCTCTAAGCTCAGTTGGCAAGAATTAATCTTTTGTAACTTCTAGGACATTTGTGAGGCTCAGTACATTATGAAAATCTTGTAGTAATCATTAGTTAATTTATACTTTCATAACCAAGAATATATGTATGTTATATGTGCTAGATTGTTTTGTATATTATGCTTTATTTGGAATAGTCATGCATAATTTATATCCCAGGATTGTTTGTTGTCACAAAGATTTATAGCCTCTTTACTATATCTACGTTTTTGCTCTGCCTCCTGGAATGGTTGAAATATTTCATTAAAGTGTATGTCACATGGAGAAAGAACATGTTTATGCATAAAAAATAATAATTAAGAAATAAAAGAGCAAGTAGAATATAATTCTTTTGTAATCCTGCTGCATTTCAGTTTCTAAAAAAGAAAGTGCTTTATGTAGATAAACTCTTTTTAAGTACACATACAACTGTTTTATGTAGTATTGAATCAACAATACATGTTTAAATAGTTTTCTTTAAATTAAATTTTGCTGTATGTTTTTATCTGCAAGAATTACTCCTGGATTGAATGTTCTGTATTATGTTACATGAACAGAATATTTCTTTACACAATTTTTCTTTAGGTCAGGTTAACATACAGTTTTTACTTGTATAAATTGTAAAGTTAGATGTGTAATTTTATGTCTATTACTTATTTCATGTGATTTTCTTGTATTTGGCCCCTTTTGTCTTTGTTTTGTCTTCTTTTGAAAGTATGTGTTTGTAATAATGTGACTGTTTGTACCATCATATGAGAAGAGCTATCCAAGTGTATAATGTTTTTGCTGTTTTGTGAGAATGTGCTTTCCAAAGTGTTTCACTGTCCTGTGAAAATATGTTGTTCAAAATGTATAATAAACAATTCGCTGTTGAACACGGTGTTTCAGTATTTTATTAGGACATTACAGTTTGTTATCATGTTAGAATGTATCAACATTGGCCTATTTTAATGTCATATTATCAGAATATGTTATTCTAAATCTGCATTATTATCTTTTTTTACAAGATATTTCTTGCTGTTTTATCCATCTTTTTTGTGAGAATCTATTATTGTAAGTTGTTAGTTAAAATTTGCCAATGAGGATATGTTATCTGTATCATTATCTTCCAGTGAGACTATCTTTTGTTTCACTGTCTTGGCAGAATGAGTTAAATGTGTCTTTATTTTGTTAGAATGTATTTCACCACCATGCATGAATTTATCGTTTGTTTTAACATTTTGTGAGAATTGGTTTTTGAAGGAGAATAAATTTTTGTATTGCTAACTAGCATTTTGTGAGAATGAGTTCGTGTATGGTTCACTAGCATCTTGTAAGAATAAGATTTGTATGGTTCACTACTATCTTGTAAGAATGAATTTTTGTATGGCTAACTAGCATTTTGTGAGAATGAGTTCGTGTATGGTTCACTACTATCTTGTAAGAATGAATTTTTGTATGGCTAACTAGCATTTTGTGAGAATGAGTTTTGTATGGTTCACTACTATCTTGTAAGAATGAATTTTTGAATGGCTAACTAGCATTTTGTGAGAATGAGTTTTGTATGGTACACTAGCATCTTGTGAAAATGAGTTTTTGTGTTTTTCTCTCTTTTTTTCAAAATGTGTTATTCTAGAAATTGCTCCCTAGCCATCTGTCATCTTGTGCTTTTTTAATGTTTCTTTCATTACTTTTATATATTGTCTTATTGTTTAATTCAATGTTTGAATGTGGTATCCTAATCATGTAACTTTTTTATTATTAAGATTGCATTAAATTGATCTCTCTTCTTTTAGTTTCTGTAAGAATCTATTATTCTATTTTTGTTTTATTATCCTTAAGTGTGGGACTACTAATGTTCTTATATAAGCTAAGTAGATTACACTCTTATGATATAATTACTAATTTTAAAAGTTTCTCAAAAATATAAAGATAGGAAGAACTTGAATATAATATACAATGAAGTTAATGTTTTATATGTGAATTGAACTACACAACTAGGTAAAACAAGCCTACCATAAAAGCATGTAGTTAAAACAGTAATAAAATGAAAAAAATAAGTAATCATAAAGCATGACTAAGCATAAAAAAGTTTTATTCCGAGTAAAATTACTAAAGTTGTCAAAAACTCAAGCATGTCTATTAAAGTTTAATTTTGTCCATTTCTAATGTTTTAATTGTAGTTAATATTACTGTTTTAATATTTTGCCTTTATACTAGGCTTATTTTTAAGTGTAAATTTTATCTTATGTACGTATTTTAAAAACATTATTTTTCCTCTCATGATCAAATTATAATCTAGATATAACTCTTGCAGTACCAAGATATGTGGAACTGAATACCCATATCAATGAAACAAAACCTGAATGTGAACAGGTATAAGTCACTGGAAGAGAAAAATTAGCAAAAATAAACTTATTTTTTATTATCCACAATTTTCTATATGTATAAAATAATTTTTAAGTGACTCCTTGTTTTTCACATTATGTTTTGTTTCTTTTATGGTAGTTTACGAGGCTGACAGTGTAAGTACTAAAAGTTTTCTGCTTGCAAACAACTGTTTAAATTTAAGTTAATTTTTGATTATGCTTAACTATTTCTAGTGGAAATTTATAGTTATAAATGATTGTCTGCTTATTATAATCCATTATTATAAAAAATGCCTATGAAGTAAGTCAAGTGTGTAAAACTAACATTAAACCAGAATTTATTTAAGTAGTTATTTGCTGAAATGAATTTTGTTTTGTAAGCTATGATTTTCCTGAAAAAGAAATGTTTTTATTGACAGTGTGCAAACTGTTTACCTCATCAGTTTGTTCCAGGATGATATAAATGATGGAAAAAGCTGATCAGTGAGATACAGTTATATTAATCAGGATCTCGTACTAGTTCATGAGCAAGATTCAAAATTTTTTGTATAAATTTTAACCAATATTTGTTAATATTTTTTACTGAAGTGTGTTTGTATGTGAATTCATGTTATTAATATAAAAATGTTTACTTGCATAGAGCAGCTACATAGAACAAATGCGGCTGTGAATAAAGTTTTCTCTCATCTTTGTAGTTTTAAGTTTCTAAGAGCTGTATTTATGAAATATATATATATATATATATATATGTGTGTGTGTGTTTGTTGTTACTTGTTAAGGAGTAAGGATAACTACAGTACGAATTGAGGTGTTTTAAACAGCTGTTTTATAACTATGATATTATTATTTGAAACTTCTTGGCTGTTAAGCCAGAAGTGAAATGAAATACAATTTTATGAGCTTATATCCTTAATAATAGGTACAATATTTAATATAAGTGTTGTTCTGATGAGTTTCCAAATTGCTTAAGATTTTTTCCTCCTAGCTAATACAATACAATAATACCCAAGTGATTGCAAGTTATGCATTGAGAAAAGAATAATAGTAATTATAATCAAGTGTTACATGACTTTACATGCATGAATTAGCTACATTTTACTGTAGTCCCTGAAATGTATTTTCTTTATCCAATTGTCATCCACTTTCAACTTCTATAGAGCTGATTTATCTCCACATCTGATTTTCCCCCTGTTGCACAGGATGGACCAAATAACAACAAGACAGAAATTTAGTTTCTTAATTGTTTATTATGTGGCCAACTTATCAAACAATTCTGACATTTTGAAAAGTAAATTTTCAAGATGTTGGCCATTGACCTCAATGAGTTTTATAGATAATCCTGGATATTGTCTACAAATGTTTCTAGTCTAACAGTATATAACACTGTTAAGAGAAGAAAGAATAATGTGTGTGTGTGTGTATGTATAGATATTACACAGAAACATAAAAGTATAAACTGTGTTTTGGTTTTGTTCTTATTGGGCCACACTGTATTATTTACAATCAACTATCCTGAAGCTGTGTATTATCCCCAACAAGTTTTTGTGAATATATTCATTACAGATAACTAACTTTTCTAAGACTACAAGTTATAATATTTGCTTCTTTGAAACCATGATATACATACCTAACTTAAGGTGTGATTTGCATTTTCCTTAGATCTCCTGAAACTGAGTTGCATATTTGTAATAGAATGAAAGATAAATTTCAAAATAAGAGCAAAGTGCTGTAAGCTTTGTTTCACACCATATGGTAGCTCAGGGTCTTGTTTGTACCATGAGCATTGTTATTTGTTATTTTTTAGTAGAGTTTATGGATTCTAGTTGTCATTAACTGGCATAATACTTTATATTGGTAAAACACGACGTTGTGTTTCTCGTATTATTTGATGTGTTGCTTATTTACTTGGCAGGTTCTCGTACTTTATGTACTATAGTAATGTTTACTAGTGAAATATTTTGTATTGATTGTATAGCGTGTGTAATGTAACCAATAGAACTGGAATCACTCAGGATTTTGTTATATTGTGATGCTTGCCTTAATGTTATTAAACATTAAAAATGTGGGTTTATCACCACTCGGGAGTTTTTTAGCTGGAATGTTTGTTATACAACTTGCAAGATTTGCCTTATTAACATGAGTGAAAACATATTAAAATTGATTATTAAATTCACATGATTTTCCTAGTTACTTCTCATAAGAACTAATATGGCTTTATTCTGTATTTTTTAAGAGCATTTTAAATGGCAGTGATAAACATGAAGAAGTGATCAGATATTTAAAGTCTCCTGTCATTTCAGTTGTCTTTTTTAATGACAATCAACTTTTAGAACCTCCAGTAAAGGCAACCATTGAAACATTCAGAATATTTGCTATTGCTTTTTTTATCAATAGCTTAAAAATGTATTGGAAAGGGAAAATTTATTCCAAACTGGGTTTGAAGAACAATTTATTATTGTTTGTTTGTTTGTCTTATGCTTCACATTATTTTATTTTAATGGTGAACTTGTATGAATGTTTAATTTTTATGGTTGCACAAGTTTAAAATTTGAACATCCCTTTGATGTAGATGTTTTTTTAGAACATTTTTGCTGTGCACTGACTACAGATGACCACGTGGGTTTAGTTTTGTATGTTAGGAATGGATATATGAAACAAGGAAAATTAAGTACAGTTACATTTATATGATGTACTGTCTTTTTGTTACAATAGAAAGAGGAAGAAACGTCATTAAGGACTTCTTTTGCATCTGTGTATTAAGATTTAGTCCAACTCATTAGCATTGCATATAATCACAAATTTTAAACCAGTTTCACCCTTGAAATGGGGGGAGTGCAATAGTAAGGCATATGAAATGAATTTACATCATGTTAATAACTTGATTTTGGTTTAATTTCAGGATCAACTTTATCTTAAATGTAAACCCTTTTGTGTGTGTCTTTATTAATGTAAATTCTAACTTTATATATATATACCATGCAACTTGCATGTGGAAGGTTCTTCTGCTTTACTAGGTGAAAAATACTTTAGAAAAATATATCAAAGTTGGTAAAATGTTTTTTTATAAACAAAGTAAAAGTTTACATCATACCCTGATATTAAAAAAAAAGAAAACCAAAGTGATATGTTTTTTTTCAGACTGTTGTAGTTTTAATGTTAATTATATAGCTAAATTAAAATAAAGTGATGCTTGTTTTTCATTACTCATGTTCTTTTCTTTGCCTGTTTTTGTCTCTAAAATAGGGTCTGCTTAAAATGAGTTGTTGTTGGACTTACAATTTCAATAAAAAATTAGCAGCTATTTTTGGACTGATATTGTAGTTATATGAAAAGTTTATTAATGGTGATTTCTACAGTAGTGTTACTTGCAGCAATTAATTTTTTTAAATTATAATGGATATTTAATGTCATAATAACTTGAAATATGTTGGTGTACAAATAAAACCAATTCTGAATATGGTACTAACAAAAATTTTTAAACACAAAATCTAACTTTTCATATTAATAATAATAAAGTATTTATATAGAGGCGATGTGTATTTATAATTTATTTAGATTTAATCTATCAGTATACATTTTAGAACTTGTTCTTCAGAAAATATTTTTCATTTAAGCTCTTTAATTCTGCAAGTCTAACAAGGTAAAGCCACAATTAATATTATAAAGTCCTACACTTATTTGTTTTTCAATTTGACCTCATCAGCATTCATCCTCAGTTTTATTTCAATTGCTAAATACTACCATTTTGAGAAGTAGCAATGATCCTGTGATTCTATTTTTCAAAATTATGTTGCAGCACTGTAAGTAACCCTACTAAGAACAATTGAAAACAAGTGCAAATCTATTAGGTGAATTATTTCTGAAAATAAAACTAGATTAGATGTGGGATACAATTAACATGAGCAAGTTAGACCATTGAAATACTGTCAGTAATTATTTTTCTTTTTTGAAAAAAAAGAAAGAAGATATACCATTAATTTTGTTTCAGCTTATAGATCTTAATCCTAAACAATACAGTTCCTGTCTCATAATACGTCACATTGGAATGTGACATACTTTTTGGTAAATACTTCTACAAAGAAAATGAGATTGAATATGATTTAGGTAACATGGTGTATGTATTGTCAATTTGTTTCTATGTATTGTTTACTGAGGTTATAAAAATAAAATGGATTATGTATGGCTGTAAATTAGCAAAAGTAAAAAATCTCTTGTTAAAAGTAGCTTTATTTCAGAAGTTGAGTGAATAAATTTATACATTCTTCAAATATACTATACTGCATATTTATAATTTCTTGGGTATTCCTCACAAATTATACTCTGCATTGTATGTAATCTCAATATTCATCATTAATATGATAAATGAATCCCTTTTACATATAAATGAAAAAGCAATATTTCATTTGCGAGACTTTCCAATCTCATCACTGCAATATAAATGTTAAATAGTATCTTGTAATTACCTCTGATATTTTTAGTCTCAAACAAATTTTCATGTTTTCTTAAAGTGTAAATGTACCAGGAGAAAATATCATATTAACCATTTATGACAAACAGCATCAGTTTTTATAATTGTATTAAATCATTAAGAACAGAGGTGTTTGTGTTTACAAGATTGCATAAAACCCCCAAAAATCTTTCATGGTATAAATGTCATAATGGGAGTATTGTGTATAAAAAAAGTACAGATGTGCTCAAAATAAAGCGTGAAGGTTAACAGATGTGCCTCAAAATGTAGTCATAGACATTGAAATGTGGAAAATGTATTAAACAACGTAAGATATATGAACAGTTTTATTTTGAAAAATACATGACTTATAAAAATGCTTACTGAAAATGTACTTCTGTAATAAATAGTTGTACATGTAGCAACTAATAAACAACTTTGTGTGAGAACAAATCTGTAGATCATGTCTGCAGCAATCTGGAATTTTGTTACTAGTAAGTTCACAAAAACTTGTTCCAAAACTAGGTGATTAGCCTGTCTGTACTATGTTATTAGCCGTACATCTAGTCTTAAAATTATTTTTGGTCCAGAAGTAAAAAAACTACAAGGAATATAATGCTTTACAGAGGTTAAGTATTATGCTTAACCCTAGAATGCCAGCATTCATTTTTTGATCTTTAACACTAAGTAGCATGGGGTCATAGTGACCCCTACACTAGTGTTAAGTAATATGTACAATTCAACAGGAGTTCATTTTTTCCACAGGTAGAATCCCACAAAAAATGATCGTTGATCGTAAAATACTTTGTATATACATAATAACTCTGAAATTTGATTTACATTATAGTAGTGTCCTATGAATTATTTAACTTACAAAGTGGATCTAGGAGCATAATTTCCATAATGATTTGCTACATTCTAAATATTTTAATGAAGCATATAGCATAGTTGTTTAAACTCAGTGCACAACCCCATATCTTTCTCTCCTAGATATATCATCAAGTGTTTGTCAAGTCAACTTTACTTTCCTAATTATTCTATTTAAATAACATTTATTAGATAGTTTTAAAAATATTTATACACTAAAGCAGTTTTATATCAAAGTTTATTTCGCTTTAAATGTTATAAAACAATACAGTTCACTTGTAAAACTGCTGTTTTAATAAAAAAAACGTTTGCATACATTATTTAAAGTATTATTAACATACCTTGGAAATCTACAGACAAAGTTTATCTATACAGTCCATTAACATGTGCTTGTATAACAACATATTTTAGGATTAGGTAAGGCATGGTATAATTTTAAACATCTGCTATTGCTGTCTACCAACACACAGAGTGCAATATTCACTATATGTTACATAAAACTTATTTGAAAATGTTCTTTAAATAGTATAAAATTAGGTGACCTTCGAACAAATCTTTGTTCAGCTACCTACTGTATACAGTATTTACATTAATTTTTCAAGTTTATTAACAATTTCGATGCAATAAATGCTATTGTCACGACAACCAAGTAACAGCTGGTTGTTAACCATAACAGGAGAAGAAAATATTTCCCCTGGAAAGCAATGTGAGGTAATAAGCTTCCCAGAGAAGGGATTGAGGACACAGAAGTATCCACTTGTGGATGAGACAGTTACCACCTTCAGTCTTTTAACAGTGGAACTGGATACATTTAATATTATTTCAGCTATGCAAGGTGTAGAAAACACAGGAGAATTAGCTTCAAATTTCCAGTTTAAAGTACCATTCTTCAGAGTTAAACAGTAGATTGAATTGTCATGGCAACCAAATATTATGGCATCCTCCTTTTTTTGACACTGACAGTAACTAATTGAAGAAAATACTGGACCTCCACACTGAAATTTCCAAATCTAAACAAATAAGTAAAAACATACATACATACATATATATATATATATATATTACACAAAATGAAGTAAATGCAAGTTAAAAATGCTGCAATGAAAGATACTGCAATTCATGCAAGTTACTATAACCTTCATCTACACTTTAGCTAAGTAAAAGTTATTTGTACTTTGATCAAGGTTACTCATTTTTTCAGCAACTTTATTTTAGACTATTTTAATGATGCTACATTTTTCATTTTAATTGAACAATTCTTTTAACAGTATCTTTCACCCAAGATAACTGAGTTTGTATAATGAATCACTGAATGTTTAAAATAGTGTAGTTGATGGTTTGCCCATGTGTGTCACAAGATGTACCTGCAGTTGATTATGATCTTTTTGTATGTTACAAACACTTATCTTTGGTTAATGGTTGCTTATGCTGTATGTACACTAATACTGTTACTTCTGGATGGTAATAACCTATAGGTACATTACAAGCATCGTTATCTAAAACTGATGGTAATGCATATATGTTACAAACGAATAAAAACCCTATAACCCTTTCATTTCTATCAAGACTTCTTGAACCTATGTGTTTTTCTAACATCATGAACATATATGTTACAAATATGTATCTTTGGTTAATGGTTGTATACACTGTATGTACTAACACCATTACTTCTGGATGATAATGACATATGGGTATATCACAAACATCATTACCCAAAAATGATGATAGCACATATATGTTACAAAAATGTATGTTTGGTTAAGGGCTGTCTACACAGTATGTGTTGACATTATATTATTTGTGGTTGGTGGTTCTGTATGCTGCATATATTAACACTTATTTGTGGTTGTTTAGCACATTTGTACAAATGGTATGTTATCTGTGGTTTTTGGCTGACTAAACAACACACACATGCAAACTTAAAGTAATACTACGAAGTATTACCATGCTTCCATCGTGATCTAGAAGGACAACCTCACCACTGACTGAAGCAACACAAACACCCATTGAAACTGCTAGAGGTGTAGAAAAAACTGGTTTCTTGCAGGCATACAGCCACAGAATACAACCAGAATGCTACAAGAGAACAATTTGTTATAATCAGTATAAATAGTAAATGAAAAATTCATATGCCATCTAAAGAGAAGTACACATAACTTATAGTATTATGTTTGTTTCCAGTATTGCCTATCTTTGTGACCTTATTAAAAGCCCAAGTCTAAAACAATACAGATAATTCACAAGTAATCTTTCTGATCATATTTATGCATATTTTATCATTTGAGACATGTTCATAGCTGTCTTTAAGAGAATTGAGATTCACAGTAAATATTTTTGAAGGCAAGAACAAGATTTATTAATTTATAATCAGAATTAAATATTTCCTATATTCCTAGTTTGCCCCTGAAGAATTTCTTGCCCACCTTTCGAAAGCATTATAGAGTTTTTATCATCCCATATTCCCAAGATGGCTTTCTGAAACTAAAACCTAATTTAGTTCAAATTAGCTAATGTCCTACAGTTCAGAGCAGTTTATTGGACAGATTGATTTATTAAACAATTATACCATTTTTCTCTTGTGACATGAAATATACACATCATTACATTTCAAATTTTAATACAAATTATCAACATAGAAATGAAGTAAAGTTACAGAATTGCATAATGCAAGTTAATTAACAATCCCAGTACACAGAGAGAACAACTGAATGCTATCGTAGGCTATAGTTTTTGATGTATAGGAGAATTTGTTTGTTTAGCTGCTATCCTGAAAATTTCTGGTAAACTGCAATTTATGAAAAAAAAACAACAACTATCTTTCAAAAGAACAGATATTATTTTAATTAATAAGAACATCCTTAAGTAGTTTAATCAAAAAATAACAGCTTTCAACCTTTTATATATTAGCATATGTATAACAATAAAATGTTCTAATGCTAATTTTAGTTGTTTTTTTATTCAGTTTGTATCTTAATGCTTTTCTCATTTATAAGAATCAACAAAGTTTCATGCAGTGACTAAATATAAACCTGTCAAACATGAACCTACTTATACTTAAAGGTTTATTATTTAAGAGATATCTTTTAGGTTAATTAAACTTTACTCCCAATTTTCACTAAAAAAACATTCTTTCATTTCTGGGTTCAAAAACATTAACCTGCTTGAATAAATAATGCTAGCCCAATTACTATCAAAAGATAATAGCAATTAAGTAATTTAAATTTATTAAACTTTTTTCATGTATTCCATAAGAAAGAAAAAACCCTTACTGGTGTTACTGCTGCAACACTACCATCCAGTGCTGCAACATATATCCGATGTGGATCCTTAGAAATAGATGGAGAAGCAAAAATACTTGCTTCACTGAGTTTTGTGTTCCACACACACACTTTTTTCTACAAGTGGTAATAAGATGTAAGTTTGTAAATACATTTTCTCAATATAAATACAATTTTCAAGTTTACTGCAGTGATGAAATTATATAAAAAAAACCAATATATTAATGACACTGAATTTCAAATAAATCAGTAAAACATTTTCATGTCTGAACAAAAATAAAGATAAATATATCAACCAAACAATTACTAATAACAATATATAGGTAAAAAAATAGAGAAACAAAATAGTTATTAATCAAAATGAAGTAAGTTTAATACAAGTAAACATAAAAAAAATATATAAAGAAACAGGCAGCAACTGGATCTTACAATCGCAACTAAAAAATTATTTAAAATCAATGATTTGGAAGTTTTACCCAAAAACAACATCTTTGACTATAAAGTATGAAAAAATGGTGTGGAACATTTTATAAAAGATAGCCAAAACCCTGAACATGAATAATAAAAAACAATTCTGGTACCAAAAAACTACATCTTGGAAAAATGAATAGTTAAGCATTGAATAAAGAAGAACTGTGATATTAGTTTCTTCAAAATTCAGTGTATTTTTCATCAATCAAATATACATGTTCTAAGACATCCGACTTTTCTCTCACCTTAATATTTAAGGCATACAAGTTGTGATCATGAGATCCACATATGAAATATCCTGAAAGTGAATCCACAACAGGAGAACATTTCACTTCAGCAGCTGTCTTCACTTTCCACCAGAGTGAACCAAATTTTACACCAAATATGTACAAGAAATGATCATAACAGCCTGAAAGAGTATTTTTAATGTGGAATGTACAGTTAAACACTTAATAGTATATAGTAATAGTAAATTTTACAATTTGAATGCAAGTTTAATTTTTCACTAATAGACTTTAAAATAATACTAGCTGACTGCCTGTTGTATGATGGTAAATGCCAATTTATTTGGCTTCTGAAACTAAAATCTAAATAAATGTTTTATGATCAATATTTTCTAAAAATTAATTATAGAAACAATGTATGTATAAATAATGTTTATCCTTTTTCCAGTATTTCACAGAAACATTTTATATTTGCTCATCTCGTGTAAATGGCCCTTGATTAGAATATTGACTGATGTATATTTTTATGTTCAAATCTTCTTGATAAAGCCTCACAGATTGAAACATGCAAAAAAACTGATTCTTGAAGAAATACTCCTACATGATCAAATGTCTGTATCTGTGGTATTTTAATTCTAATGCAAAGGCAGTGAATTTTATGGTGAATAGAAATACATAAAGATATAACTTTTCTTAAAAAATGGTTATAAATTTTCTGACTTAAACTTTTAAAAATCTCTTACCTAAGATGAGAAACGTCAATAATAATGTATTTTAGCACCATCTATTGAGTTGAAAAAGTTCTTTTTGACACATACTGTCACTGGTGTTTATAGTGTAATATGATATTATCCCCAATTTCATCTATAATTATATTCAAACCTTCAAAGAGCTTGTAAATATGATAATAAATATAATAATAAAAGAAAGTTAACAAAATCCCGACTCGTCTGGGATTCGATTTAAAGATTTCCACATGATATTTAAGCACTATAACCACTGTGAAAACAAGTCATTATAATTGAATCTCTAACAAATAATTAAGATCCCTAATGTAAACTATCATGTTATTGTATTTTTTCTAATATTGTAATACCTTGCTCTAAACATGACGAGTTAATATTTAAAAAAAGTTATAAAACATCCCCCCTCAACTAGGATTTGAACTCAAGATTTCTGCTTGAGACAATCCACTATGGCAATTTGAACATTCCCAACACAAAGTCAAGCATTACTGACAGATAGAGCATTATAAACACTAAGTGGCTTTTACATATATAGGTATAAACCATATTAAATGCATTACATATACACACAGCTACTAATATTCATTGTCCATAATTGTTTATAAACTACAGTGAAAGCTTCATTATTCAGCATCTGCTAGGCATTGGCAGTGCCTAATAGGCAAAAATTCTGGTTAAAAAAGCATTTCTCTTATAATATTTTACAGGAAAAAATTTTACATCTTGTTAATGATCTAAAGTGCAATATTTTTACATCATCTGTAACAATAACAGATTTAAATAATAATAAATGCTGTAAAAAACTTTAAACTGTATAAAACATTGACTTCTTGCTAGAATTAGAAGCCATAACTTCAGGATATAGAAAATATTCACAGATAAAGTAAGTGCAATGTGAATCACAATACAGGCAGCTAACAACCGAAGCTTGCTGCCAGGAAAGAACGTAAACAAAGCCACAGAAGAGCCACCAAATGGCAGTGTTGGTTAACAACAGTCATGAACTTTTGAGAAGCTTCAAGAGCATTCTGAGACTTTCTGGACATAATTGTAATGAATGCAGGTTCTTACAATGAGAATTTGTATTTGGATATATTTAAATTTCTGGATGCAAAGATGCTGGATAACAAAGCTTTACTGTACTTCATTGCAAAGCATACTACTCTCAAGTTTGCATTATAGAATGATCTCAAAAAAAAAGGGGGGGTTGTGGTGAGAAGCTTAACATTTTGCTTTTAAGATCTGTGCATATCAAGCCTGCAAGTAACAAACTTATTCATCTCTTCCAAAACATTTGCTGTACTGAATGGATCATAGTTATCAGCTAGTCTTGCACATATTTCAATTTTACTGATGTACTCTTAAAAGCCAGTTCAATTAATATGTGATTGTAGGAAGCAAAATATATTTCAAAATTATTATTACACACAATATCTCTTGCAAACATTTGAGTTTTCTATTTTATACTAATAATAACCATTCACAGTTTAGTTACATATACTAATATTGTTTGATTGTTCTACAAATCTGATATATTAAATACTCTATTCTGCCTATTGTAATTTAATCCAGCTTGATAATGTCCTATACATGAGAGGATCAGAACAATTACAGTTTGATTCATTTTAGTTTAGACTTAATGTTAAAAAAACTATGCTTCCATTTTCAAGAAGACAAGAGTATTTTAGTAAAGAAAAATTAACTACATTAAAAAAAATTAGTAACTAGTACTGAAAACACTTCTTTTCAGTTACCAAGCGTTTTCAATAACAGACTTAGTTTGGTAGTTGAAGCCAAAGATTAAGCTTACATGCACAGAAAAAAAAATCTGAACAAAAAAATCACATTGCAAATGCACTTTTTAAACAAAGTGACTAAAAACCCTGCAAGATGTAACTTTACAGTGAAGGAATACAATACTATACAAGTACAAATTTGTAAACTCAGAGAAGAAATAAAAATTCAATCCCTCTCAGAATTAAGTTATTACCAAAATATTGAGGTGAGGGTTATAAATTTAAGTGGATGTACTTGTCATATTTTGCATTATTATTACTTTGGAGTTTCTCAAAATGTGTATACATCTTTATAATAAGTCAAAAACTAATGTATACAAATTAATTTTGACTTTATGAGAAATATAACTTGACCATCTATCAAATTTCTAATTTTTATTTTTCAGAAAAAAATGTTTTAATTTTCATAGGTAATGTATGTTAGGAAAATCATGTTTTTTACATACATATTTAAATCATATTCATGTTTCATTTCATATGTCACCAAGTTGGCAAAACATTCTCTTTTAGCCTTGAATATGGTTAGAAACACATACCCACAGCAACGAAGAGTCCATCACTGCAAGCAGATGATTCAACACGATCAGGTAATTTAACCTTCCATTTGACACAACCCACACCAATGGCAACAGCAGCAAACCAACCAGAGTGAGATCCAATAAAAACAACAGGGCTTTCACTGGTTAAAAAAAAATAACATCTAGAGATGTTGGAGCTTAACATATTTGAACAAAAAGTAAACATCTTCAAGTAACTGAACCATGGAAGTAAGTTGGGTATTTTCTTCTGTTGCAAGTTTTTAACTATTTTAAAAAAGAAAAAGTACATATGGCATAAGTAAATATATGTAATAATAAAACAAAGTGACAAGAGTTGAGCTCTCCTATAGATGAAAAAAATTGTAATACAACAATTTTTAACATTTAACTTAAGGGAAACAATATCTTATAAACTTTAAATAAAACAAAGAAAACATTCATTTTTCAAGATATTTTTATTTTATTGTGCATTATAAATAGGCTACTTGTTCTTTATCAGTATTAACCCATTGACTGCTGATTCTCCATATAGGGTACAGTCTGCCTTTGGCAGTTAAATGCGAGCAAGCTGTATACAGTGTACGACTCACAAAAATTCTGCCTGTGTTTAAAGCAGCCGCAGTCAAAGGGTTAATGAACTTTTATTACAAAATTCTGTAACACAACATTGGTATGAATTTTTTTTACCTGCTTCAGCTGACTCAATGTATAACACATACAAAACAGATAGAATATTTAAAACAATCTTTCTACCATACCAAGGAAACAAGTTTGAGAATTTACTTGTAATCTAAATTAAGTTCCCTTTAAATTCAATTATGGTAGGTAATTTAAACAGAAATTCTGAAATTTATTTTTGTAAATAATTATTTCTAAGTTCATATATTCTTTGCACAAAAATGATGCTGGCATCAGTTCAGTTTAAAAAAAACATTACAAACTACACTGCTTCAGATTGAGTAGATTCTAGATAAACCCAATTTTTGAACTTACACAAATAAAATGCTACATTATTTATCAAATATTTTTAGCTTGTAAGGTTAAATTCCTTTGAAATTAATTTATTAAGTATCAAAAATTTCTCACTTTTTGTATTGAATCAATAAAGGTGAAGCATCTATACATTTATGTAGATTGTAGGTCCACACTGGCATCAGTGATAACTTAGTTGTAAGTACATCCTGAGAGAGATCAGGTTTATTGACAGACTTGTACCAATGGCACTGAGAACATATGCACTTCTCAAGAAGTTGAAACCTTGTAATCACTTGAAAGCAAGAAGTTGTTTTGATTGGTGACTGCAGTTTAGTTGATAGAACACAACTATCAGAAGTGTATTTTGATGAAATGTTATGATCAAGTGGATCAGTTATATTTTTCCTTTGAACTGTCGTATCATGTTTCTGCTGTTCTTTCTTAATTTCTGGAGCAGTGGCATTGTCTGTATCAATTTGTTGTTTAATGCCTTCTAATAATACATTAGATTCTTCACAAAGGTGAGAGCTATGTTCTTGAATTTCTTCATTACCTTCTGAAAATATTTTGTTCACATTTACTTTACTTTCATTTGAAACAATAAGCAATGGTTCAAGTACAGAAACACTGCTCTTTACTGAACTGTTCCAACTTTGATTTTGCAGTGTATGTCCTTCCTGGAAACTTAATGTAGGATCATGTGACACAGTGTCAGTGTGATGTAAGGAAATTGTTTTTTTTCTGTCCTTTTTAATACTTTTGACCGTTTCCCCAGATTGGTTTTTATTTTCATTTTTCCTTTTCCTTAATTGATTACTGGATATTTTAGAAACAAAATTACTCAAGAATTCTTGATTACAACAACTCCACAGGTATTCAAGTACTACAGAAAATGTGGTGTTCAACAATTTCTCAACCAACAGTGGACAGGAAATGCCTAGCTCCCATTCAATCTCTTGTACACACTGCACTGCAGTCACAGAATCACCACCAGAAAGCATAAAGTAACTTTCCTGCTGAAGGTCTTCCTTACATATATCCTCCGTGCCAGTATATTTCTAGAATAAAAACTGATTTGTTTAACTAAATACATTAAACTATTACATTATTTACATACATACATACATACTGAAGTTCATTACTCATTTTTTATTCACATCTTATTTGTAGAGAAACATAACTGTTATGGATGTAATAATTATTGCAATCTTCATAATTATTTTGACAAAGAAAAGAGCAGCAAAATCCATCACTTTATTTCGATCCTTTTTTAGAAGAAATCAATTCAAATTACAATTTTAACATAAAATCTTGACATACAGTAAGCTTTTTAGTGTCTTTAACTAAGATATATCCAAGAGGATTTTACATAGTATGGTTTTTAAAAGATGATAACCTACAACATCCATATGCATAAGCATGATATGCAGCACAACCAGTTAACCCCAATTTTGGTTGCATCTTTTTGATGTATTGTATCAAATAAAAGTCATTTGAGAAGGAAAAGAATACTTAATAAATATACTCGTTTAAGAAAGAACCTTCAAAGTTAATTTAACTTTATAAATGGATCATAGAAGTAAAAACTTAAGTGAAAAAAATTAAAATATCAAAGTGCAAATTTAGAAATACAAGACCTTAAGAAATGCAATCATCCAAGTGACTAAGAATAAAGTATTGATAAGCATACCTTCCAGAAGTAAGTGAATCTATCACAAACCTCTTGCAAAGTTCTACAGATATTTTGTTGTTTGGAATCTATTGAGTTGATGTAATCCAATAGCACATTACTGTTCACTTTACCTGGAATTTATATATATACATGTATATATATATATATAATCTAAAGTTAAAAATAAAGGTTGAATCTTGACTAAATAAGCTGCTATGTTAATTAATCAAGAGCTAAACTAAAATTATTCAACCCACAAGTACAAATCTGTAAAGCAGCTATAATTTAACAGCAGTCTTCATTTAACATTTATTTGTATAAACAAGTCAAACAATTCTGTACAGCACTTTTCATTTAACATTTATGTGTATAAACAAGACAAACAATTGTGTACAGCACTCTTCATTTAACATTTATGTGTATAAACAAGTCAAACAATTCTGTACAGCAGTCTTCACTTAACATTTATTTGTATAAACAAGTCAAACAATTTTGTATAGCAGTCTTCACTTAACATTTATTTGTATAAACAAGTCAAACAATTTTGTATAGCAGTCTTCACTTAACATTTATTTGTATAAATAAGTCAAACAATTCTGTACAGTAGTCTTCATTTAACATTTATGTGTATAAACAAGGCAAACAATTCTGTACAGCACTCTTCATTTAACATTTATGTGTATAAACAAGACAAACAATTCTGTACAGCACTCTTCACTTAACATTTATTTGTATAAACAAGTCAAACAATTTTGTACAGCACTCTTCATTTAACATTTATGTGTATAAACAAGACAAACAATTCTGAACAGTAGTCTTCATTTAACATTTATGTGTATAAACAAGACAAACAATTCTGTACAGCACTCTTCATTTAATATTTGTGTATAAACAAGTCAAACAATTCTGTACAGCACTCTTCATTTAACATTTATTTGAATAAACAAGTCAAACAATTCTGTACAGCACTCTTCATTTAACATTTTATTTGAATAAACAAGTCAAACAATTCTGTACAGCACTCTTCATTTAACATTTATTTGTATAAACAAGTCAAACAATTTTGTACAGCACTCTTCATTTAACATTTATGTGTATAAACAAGTCAAACAATTTTGTATAGCAGTCTTCATTTAACATTTATTTGTATAAACAAGTCAAACAATTTTGTACAGCACTCTTCATTTAACTTTTATTTGTATAAACAAGACTAACAATTCTGTACAGCACTCTTCATTTAACATTTATGTGTATAAACAAGGCAAACAATTCTGTACAGCACTCTTCATTTAACATTTATGTGTATAAACAAGTCAAACAATTCTGTACAGCACTCTTCACTTAACATTTATTTGTATAAACAAGTCAAACAATTTTGTACAGCACTCTTCATTTAACATTTATTTATATAAACAAGTCAAACAATTCTGTACAGCACTCTTCATTTAACATTTATTTGTATAAACAAGTCAAACAATTTTGTATAGCAGTCTTCACTTAACATTTATTTGTATAAATAAGTCAAACAATTCTGTACAGCTACTCTTCATTTAACTTTATTTGAATAAACAAGTCAAACAATTCTGTACAACACTCTTCATTTAAAATTTATTTGTATAAACAAGTCAAACAATTCTGTACAGCAGTCTTCATTTAAAATTTATTTGTATAAACAAGTCAAACAATTCTGTACAGCAGTCTTCATTTAAAATTTATTTGTATAAACAAGTCAAACAATTCTGTACAGCAGTCTTCATTTAACATATGACTTAGATAACAGAAACTTGTATGATTTATTATTATTTCTTATTCAGTGACATATTTGTACAATACTCATTTCTGTCTTTAACTATGGTATAATATCTCTTTAAAATCACCTCAAGAATAAATTCCCATTTAAGGCTTGAACATGTTAGGAGAAATGCAAAATTTGTATATAGAAACTAAAGTATATGGGGTTTTTTAAAGAAAAAAAAAAATGCTAACAGACTTGGTATGATATGATTTTTTCTTTGACAAAACTTACCAAAAATCAGAAATATCCTTGTAAACATAAATTTCAATTTTAAAAATATTGAGTTTGCAACAGTATTGTTACCTGTTCTCTAAACCATTGTAGCATATTAAGATATTTCATTATGGGAGGGATAAAGTCATTTAGATCATCAACTACAGAAAATTAAACAATGACACAGTGAATATATAGAAAATAATAAAACCAAATTTTCTTATATATGTCTACCAAGTAATTTTTAAGTATACTGTAGTCATAGTGAGGAATAATACATGGAAATGATTGCAATTAATGCAAGAAGATAAAATACTGACATACCATGAGCTGTAGTAGGAATATGTGGAACAAAGAGGACATCCAAAGGAACATTGTAGTGTTTCAGATGACTGAGAACCCTCTCTCTCATTTCATGCTCTTTCCACTGTCTTGAAGTCATAGGCACAAGACAGACATAAAAAATATTTCTATGCTGATGGTAAATAACTGTAGAACAGTTCACAAACACTAGCTGTTCAACTGTATCTTGCAGTTGTGCCAAGTTGACCTTCTTCCCATTGTATTTCACTACAGAATCAACACGACACAGAAACATTATATTACCATCAAGGGTCCTAAGCACCCAGTCTCCAGTAGCTCTTAAGACAGGGGAGCCCGTTAAGCGTTTTTCATTGTCAATCAGACAAATTCTGCTTTCCCCACCTATGAAGAAAACAAACTTGTCAAAGTTAACCATTTTAATGCTAATGACAGCTCATTTTCAATATTAACTAAAATGGGGGGGAAAAAATACATGTATATAATGTATTACTTGTTTAATAAATTTTTAACAGCTGAAAGACATCAGCACCAGAAAACAGTAATGAGAATTAAAAAATATAACAAATTGTTCCTTATCAAGAAATAAACTAAACTGTACAAAGGTAGAAATTACAAAAGGCCCAATTTTAGTGAAGAATAATTGTTTCAGTGGCTCCTAAATAGTGTTGAGCAAACCACATTTCTCTAGTTATCCACCTAATCACAGACAACAAAATACTCTACTAACAACAGCAAACCAATTACAAGGTGGGACACAGATGATCTAGCCCACAAAATCCAGATCCAAATACACATCCGTTGTCTGCATCACTTAGTACTTATAGATATAAAACACAAGCTGAAATACCCATCCACTGACAGAGAATGTTTAAACTTAATTAAAACAATGGAAGTTTAACAGCAATCATATATTTCAAAGTAATAACTTGAACATAAATTTTATCTAAAAATTTTAAAATTATAACAAAGCTTCTTCATAAACAACATTTGTAGTTTGCTTTACATCTACCAACAAATAAAGATTTTGAGGTGATCCCACCCTTCAACACCCTACATCTCATTGACTATGAGAAAAACATGGTTGTTTGAGAAACAATCCAGCAAATTTCATACTTTGACCTTGAATCTCTTTAGAATATTCAACTTTCTCTAAACCGTCAACCTGCCATCAAGATTATTTGAGGTTAACTCAATAAGCTGGGAGTAATTAACGAAAATGCTTTACAAATTAAATATAGGGTTAATGTTCAGTTTTGACCCCCTTAGGACATTCCCCATAGTTCATAATGTTTACATACAAATTTTGGTTGAGATTGGCCCAACAGGCTTGGAGGAGTTAAGGTGCAAACAAACACATATTTTGTCTTTATATATATACAGATTATCCATCAATATAGTTCATAATATAGTCAATGTGACTACACTACATTGTAACAAAGAATACCTAGTTTTTGTTCACGTTATCAAATGTTCTGTTAACCAATCATTCAAATATTTATAAGTATGATTTTTGACTGTCAATTCTCAATAGGTACATGCTGAATTCTGAAAGATATGATTTTCCTTACCTGAAAATGTACATCCGATATATACTCATCTTCACACACAGTTTACCTATCTTCCTCAGCTCTTCCATGCATTCTGTCAAATAGATCTGCATGCCATTGGCCTTGTGAAAACTCCCACCTAAGTTCAGATGAACTTGTACCACTGCAAAAGCCCTCCACCACTAGTAAGATGACACACTTCTATGCCCACTAACTCCTCCTATGTACTTGAACTCATGAATCATTCGTCCATGAGGCAAGTAAGAAATGTGCACTAGAAGTGGGGAGGATGGGAGGAGAGTATCTATTGGAAATACCATTTTCAGGTAATGAAAATGTTAACTTCCGAAATGAATACTCACCTCTGTACACAGTTTAGCTAGAATCCTATGTTGAGATAGTGGAGGGCCCAGTGCAAAGACTACCTAGATGAGTCCCCTCCGGAAAGTGTCCAAAGGAAGCCCATGTGGTATGACACTTGATGGCAGGGGCTTCATAGGGGCACACCTGTGGGAGATTGCATCTCATCTCATCCAGGGTATACCCTTTGCCTGCATAGGAAAGAAGAGAGGCAAATAAGCCCAATTTCTGTTGCTTGAATGGACAAAATCAGTACATGGCCATCATGTACTTTCACACATGATTTCAGACAGCCAACATGTGTAGTGAGGTTGTGGCTTCCTCTGATCATACCTTATTTTCTCACCTCTTCTACCATCATACTTAATGAGTCAAAATTACCTGTGGGAGAAGGGCATTTGTAATAAATATCCATGCTCATCTCCTCTACCATCAGTTTCCATGGGCCGCAGTAGGAGGAAACTGTAAGAAATGGATTGTATAATGAGTTGTAATCATCAGTATATATATGTGTGTGTGTGTGTATACATATATATAGTGACCAGCACTAAACACTCAGTTTCACCACAACCCCACTTTTCACTGTAATGGAATTCCTTGTTATAGCCTCAGCAGGTAACTCCCAACCAGTGAGCATTCCCTATGGCCCACCACCACAGTGGCTTGGAACTGGTAAGTGGCAATGGTCTCCCGTATTTCACTTTTGCCTGGAAAGGTCTTTTACTGGAAACAGTGCAATGGGTGACTGCAAAGCCCTATTTTTAAAAGCCAGAAAGCATGAGCCAGAGAAGTGGGCAGAAACACTGCTCTGGTGCTGGCTTTTTCCATGATAGTCCATGGAACAGGTACGGTCTGACTCGGACAAGAATAGCAATATAGATAGAAATACAGAAAACTTCAAGAGGTCACATATAGAGCCAGGGTGGATGGTATAATTACTTTTTGTTATCCTAATTCCATGCAGATTTTGGGTAAGTATACCCTGGGAGGCAATACTAGCCATCTAGTAGGATCTTATTGAATGAATGTGGGGTTCTGAAAGGGTAATGGTGCACATTCTATTCAAAGACAGTGAGGTGATAGAAGAAAGGTGACCTGTGGAAATCGAAAACTGTCAGGAGAGAAAACAGCCAAAAGGTATGGAGATGGATGTGTGAAGATAGTTCACATGCCTGTCTGGAATAGCTCATCCAGTGGCCAAAAAGAAGAGGTGGAAGTGAAGAGTGACAAATAGAATGCAAACCTCAACATCCCAAGACGAACATATCAACAGGGGCATCAATGGGCCCATCCTGTAAAGAAAGAAAGAACAAGGTTCATGGAAAATAGGAGTCCCAAGATAAGAATACAAGAAGAAGACAGGGACCCTTAAAGTAAGAGGACCATGATAAGGCATTTCAATGGTCCAATAATACAGATGGAAGAGAGTTATGGTATACCCCGAGTGGTTGAAGCCCAAGGAAGAAAGGACTGGTTCAGTGAAAGGAAAGGAGAGGTGCAGTGGAAAAGAATGTGAGAAGCATCTAGAAGAGATATCAGAACAACACTAAAGATAAAAAAATAAGGTGAAGGGAACAAGTCAGGAGAAAAAGACAGGAAGGCAACACCCCAAATGGGGAATGCATAACATTGAGTAAAACCCAAACAAGATTTCAGTTAGGCAAGAAAGTAGGGTGAGTAGGACAGGGGAGAGTGAATGAGTGGATCAGAACAAAGAGAACAGTATAAGAAAGCATGTCTTGATACTGGGAAAGGAGAAAAGCCATGAACATGGCCACCAAACAACTAAGAAAGGCTGAGACCAAGAATCCTTTGATGAACAGGATGGTAAGGAAAGTAGAAAGATGGTGCACATAATTACCACCTAGAGAAAATGGGTGGCAGAAGGACTAATGATAAAAGACCTACCACAGATGCAATAGACAAATACCCTGAATGATGAGAATAACACCACAGTATGGAAAGGCCAGTCCAATGGGAAACAGATTGAGGAAATTCCACACATGAGGGTGGAGGGAGGTTAACTCTCAGTGAGAAGGGAAGCAAGGGAGTACGAACCAAGAAAAAGAGGGATAATGGTGAAGAGAAGGGGGTCCAATTAAGCTTATCAAGGCCAATGTGGTCAGAGAGGTGCCAACAAGAGAGCTTAAAATAGATTAATAGTGAATAAATCTGGAATCCAGAAGGATGAGATGAATAAGGGAGTAGGTAAAGAGAAACAGGTAAGACCAGGCCTGGATGAGAAAAACATCTGCTATAGCTGAAGGAAGAGGAATAGAAAACTGTAAGAGAGGAAACCCAGAGTAAAGAAGGGTGGCAAAGTGTCTAATGAGGATATATCCAACCAAGAGTAAACCCAACAGAAGATCTGGGGATGCAGAGGCTACTTCATTTACAGAATAAGGACTAGCCAAAAGAGATAGTTTACCAACAAGAAAGAAGCTCCCAGCAAAGGATGTAAATGAGTACAGAAGTGCACAGTTAGCACCTGAAAATAAAAAGGCCCTGGAACAGGAGTCACAATAGTGGTTGGAGAAAGGACAGGCTGTGGTAAAGAGTGAGTGGAGCAAGACCAAGAGAACCACCAGTAGGAGCAGGAATGGGAATATGCCTGAGAAAAAAAAAAAAGAGTCAAGCATGTTGATAGGGTGAAGCATTGAAGAAGGGGAAATCTGATTTGAGAAGTGATAAGGGGAAGTAGAAAGTAGAACAGACATGATCCAGTCACCCTGGCAATTCCTAGAAGAAAGGCTCACGAAAAAGGATGAAGGACTCTAAGAAAGAAAACCCAGGGTCCATAAGGTCTACTGTAGAAGATATGTGATGGTATCCCTCAAATGAAGGAGAGGTTCTATAGAAACCAGAGTTCCCAAAAGGGAAAGAACCTCTCATGCAGGGAGAGAACAAGAAGAGAAAAGCCCAGTGATCAGATAAGCCATAGTTTGTAGACAAAGCAAATAGATAGAACTCAGTTGAGACAAGAGCAGGAGGTAATGTCCAAAAGTACTCAGCACTTAGTAGAAGTGAGAAAGGACTCAGATCCCAAGACAAGTCCCCACTCCCAAACTGAGCAGTTACCATAAAAGGAAGAAGACAGGAGAAGAGGAAACATCCCATAATGAGTTAACAGATATAAACATGCAAAGAAAGGAACACCAGCCACAGGTGGTGAATATGGCAAGTGAAGGTCCACATAATAACAATGAGTACAAGAGATGCTAAAGCAGAGGCAAAGGAAAAAACAAGGAATGGAAATTTTCCACAAAAAAAAAAGATGAACAGGACAGAGACAACAAAGAGATGTGTAGGAAGGTGTCCAACATATTGACCATGGCCAATTGCAGACTGGGTGAAATAGACCACAGATGGTTTTAGAGGGTGGAAAAAAAGAAATGGGAGGAAAGGTGAAGAGAGGAGGAGTGAGAAAAGAGACTAGGGTGGGGAAATGAAAAATTACTATCAGCAGAAAGTGAGATTAACAGCAGGAGGAGAAAAGGTACACACAGAATTGTATGTGTGTGATAGTCACTGGCAAGAATAAAGACTAAAGAGACCCATAGTAAATGTAAGATGAGAAAGGGAGGATGGTCTGGAATCCAGAATGGAAGGGTGAGAAGGAGACTGATCTAGGCAAGGAATATGAGTAAAGGGCAAGGTCCAGAAAAGGGAAAAAAACTGGGAACAGATTGAAAACAGAAGTCATACGTTATCAATCCAGGTCACCAATGGGAAAAGAACACCAAAGAAGACATCTGGGCAAAGAGAGGGTGTCAGATGAATAATATGTACAGAAGAAGAGAGGAGTACAGTAAAGAGAAATGTAATCCGACTCAACAAGTCTCAACAGCAAGGGGACAATGTATGGAGGGATAGAGCAGAAGAAGTGGAACAGGCCAAATAGAGAAGGGAATGAACATCCACAGAAGCATAAAGAAGTGCCACAGATAAAAGGTGGAGATAGGAAAGGGAATACAGAAGGGTAGGGAGAAAAATGATGAAAAATGCAAAAATAGGGAATTTGAAAGGGAAAAAGAAGGTAAGGGTCCTGATCCACAAGGTAGTAAGATTGAAATCAATGACGAGGGAGAGGGGGGGGGGAGGTGAGGAATGTATCATGAGTAAGTAGCTATTAGATAAAGGAAGCAGTATAAATCCTAATAACAGGCAAAGAGAAAATTTATAAATCCAAGAATCGTGGGTCATAAAGTGCTAAAAATAATAAAGAACATGGGTAAGAGAGAAGAAAAGCAACATACCTGAGAATGAAATTCCTTAAAAGATGAAAAGGTTAAGGTAGTTTAATGAATGACAGAGTACTACCAAAGCAAAGTAGGTGAAGGACAGTCTAATAGAACATTCCCGAATGAGGAGAAAGAAATTTTGCTGACGAGATGAGAGTAAGAGGCCCATGAAGCATGTGATAATCCACAACACATTGAGTAATGACTGCCATGGCCCTAATAGTAAGTATGCCTCCAAGAACCACAGAAGAAATAAGGCTTAAGTGTGAAAAATGTCCCACACTCAGGACTAAGTATAAAACACTATCATTTGAAAGACATCAGGACAAAATATTAAAATTTTAGATACAAAAGCGAAAGAAAATTAAAATTAAAGTTTCATTAAGGGAGCAAATTTCTTTGAACAAAGATGAGAAATTTAAGCATATCTAGTCAATACAGTGTCAAGGAGAAGAATTATTCACAAGTGCAAATGTATAGGTGGAGTTAGGGTGCATAGAGGTGTGTTGTCCTTCTATTGGTGGAGGGCTTTTGCTTGCATGATGATATCATCATGCAGTGGCACAAATTCATGTGAAATCACATGAAATTAGATGGGAATTTTCACAAGGTTAGTGGTATGCAAATCTCTTTGGCAGAATGTGTGGAAGAGCTGAGGAAAATAGCTAAACTGCATGCTGAGGCAAGTATTTGTTTCGTAACCAACTTGTTTATCAATTCTAATGATACATGCAAGTTTAACAATGATTTCCATCTAGCTAATGTTATTATTATTTCCCTAATTCAAACACAACATTAAATAATGTTATTTATCATTCAAATTTGTAACTTTTAATTGTAACTCAGAAACTCATTTATAGTGTGGTTCCAATGAGAACAACTTGTTTCATTTGTCCTTCAATATAAACCATCAAGTAAATAAGACACATAATGAAGAAAGCAAAAGACTATAAATCCAATCTCCTTACTAATAATTTTCATAGCAGTTTTGTTCTATCAACAGATATAAAGTGAAAATTACCAAATTTAACAAGAACCCACAAATGAATTGGTCGCACTTTGTGTATTTGTGTGTTTCAGATATGAATTATGAATTTTATTAAGACCTTGGCTTTTGACTTAAGTCTACCAGAAGTTATTTCTTTTGTGTCTTTATAATATTCCATCATAATTCACTTAAATTTCTCAAGCAATGCGAAATGCTACATATAACCAATTACGATTCTCCACCCACCCATAAGACTTGCACAGTATACACAATTATTGAGTAAAGACTTATTTGATGAAAATTATATTCAAGTACACAAACCTACAAATAGTTCTCCTTCTCCTTCAACAACATGATTATCTTCTTTGTCCTTCACAACCACTTTTGTATGAAGCAATGGTAACCCCAGAGGCACCTCGGCATCATCACTAATAAGTTGGCCACCAGAGAAAGAAAAATATGTTAGTATATTCTACATATTGAAAGCAAGAGATTTATATATGTATAAAACATAATTCTTATTACGTTTGTAATCTTAAATACTGCTTAACCCTTATAGTTTTCAATTAAACTCTTAAGTCAACTTGCTTGACAATTCCTCAAATATGCATTATATATATATACTGGAAAAAAAAAATTACTTTAATTGCAATCTTAATTATTTGAGTACTTTTATTCAAAACTACAATACAATAATACTGGTTATTCTTTGTGATACTAGACTGACACTGGATTATAAATTATTAATTTACTCAAGAATGAAACTTAAAAATTTTACAAAATCAGCAGCAATTATTTATGTACTTAACATTCATATGACTGCTACATTTGTGTATATGTGTGTGACTTGCTAATAAAATAATCACATACTTCAGGTCACTTTCAGTTATCTTTTTGCATGTTGCCCAGCAAGAGACTTCAGTTATTCCGTAGATATTGTATATTTCTGTCCTATTTCCTGTACCTTTCCAAGATCTAAGTGTTCGTGTTGATGGACACCTTTCTCCACCCAGAGCTAGGACACGCAAGGGAGATTCAGAATGAAGAAGTTCTTTCTGAAGAAGTTCCTTTCCAAACCTCTGGAGTAAACTAGGTGTTGCCTTGAAATATATTTTAAATTTGTCAGTAATGTAATCCATACTTTGAACTGTTTATAAAGCTACTCAAGCTTATGATGTACAACAAAGATTTATAAATTTGACTGTCAAATGTATTAAAAAAAACTTGTGATCTAAAGAAGACAAAGCCTGCAGGAAGGGTGGGGTTTAAAATGAACTAGTGCATCAAAATCATAATCAAACGAAGAAATGTGTTTAAATACACAAGTTAGAAAAGACCATATCCTTTGTGCTTATCACCTCTATAATGTGCCTATAGCATTAAGGGGATTTTTCTTTACAATATGCAAGCAAACTAAGATAACTAGACAAAATAAAGGGATAACTTCCCTTTGGAAAATGCATGAAATCAAAGAGACATATAAGTGAACTTACACAAAATTTAAAATAATAGAAGTTAATAATATAAACCAGCCACATGCCTTACAAAAATTACAGAAAGTTTGGAAGCATAAGCTCAATTAGTATAGAAAATTAACCACTCTTTTATGCTAAGTTCATATTTGCTCTAGAAATAGTTTTTTCATGTGTACAAGTACAAAGTTTTGCTTTAGAAGTAATTTAAGAATGCCTAGACTGTATCAACATTGAAGTGTTTACAGACTGCACCTGCTTGGAGTGGATAACATAAAAGTTTCTTTTGTGAGGACTTCATCATGTCCCGATAAAGCCCTTGGTACACATTCTGAAATGTCATCAACTGTTACACATTAAGTAGGTACATTCCATAGAAATTTTAAATTCAAGTACATAGTTTGGTGAAATTCTGGAAAATTTGATAATATAAAGATGCTTAACAGACAGAAAATAAACTAGTAAATCACATTAACTGAGTGAACACTGAAGGATATTAGCCTTTTAAAATTATTGCATGCCATTTTCATTCAAGTTTTGGTTAATATATCTTACACAGGCTGAATTAAAGTCTTAATTTCACACTTACAATACCCAATTAAAAACAACAAAGCATGTTCTTTATTTTACTTGATATCTTTTACATGTCAAGGAAAAAATAAGTGCTCAGTGCTTTCTGTCAAACTTAATATACTTTTGTTACTGCTATGAGTATGTCTAGTTAACTGATGAACACAGAAACTCCAAATTCAAATAATAAATATATTAGTCAAATCCACTTTCTAGTTATTTGACTTACCTAAAGTCAGATAAAATATGAAGGTAAAATAACACCTAAATATTATATGAAAGGGAGAAAAGAACATTTCACCAATTTCTTAAGTCATAAGTAACTTAAAAAAACTTTGTTCTGTATATTTATTCTGGTCTTTTATAAATGGGCAACTATATATATATATATATATATATATATATATATATATATACTACTATTATATAAATAAAATAAAAAAAAAACAAACCAAAATAGTAGAGATACACTAAAATAATAATACTATACAAAACAACTAATTAGAAAAAAAGAA